TTGCAAACGCTGATGTGATAATACAAAATATGATCGGCAAAATGATCGACATGTGATATAAGTATGTCCACCCTGCTCAACCATCCAACATTTACCGGGATTAGGACTACTAACGGTGGTACTGGAACTATCAGCGGAGGGACTTTTGGTGTTGAATTCTTTACATCAAAAAAAAGAGACCAAAAGGTAGATATATTTTTTAGTTGAAAAGTGAAAATCAACAGAACTAATTATTTATAATTTAATTCTTTTAGGACTATTACGAGGAGTTAAAGAAAAACGGATGAGAATGGTCTTCAACTCATCTATAATATTCAAATCCCTCCTCCACGTATTGTCACCCCCCACCACCACGAACTCCCGAATATCAAATATTTTCGTCGGATTCTTTCGTCCTCTCAAACACGTGCGAAGGTGACGAAACTGATAGTGATGATAACTTTGATGCAGATAACCGAGACCCCAAGAATTTTAAATTCGATGAATATTTAGATAGTGATGACTCGAATGATGATGATGATCAAGAGAGAGCTTTCTTGGGCGATTCGGTTACCTTTGATGAAAGTGAAGAAGACAATTCCGTGAATCTCTTTTTCTTTCTATCAGTTTGAATATTTTGATCTTTGCTAATAAATGAGATTGCAATTTATAGTATATGTTTCAGGAGATCAATATCTCTGCACTATTTGCTTCGTATCGTGTAAATGTATGGCAAACTGCACGAGAGTCAGGCTTGTCAATTGATACAGATTCAATATTGTACGATGATTAGCTTATTGATGTTAAATATTGTATAATATAAAAAAAATATTGGTCAACCAAATCCTATATGGCCGTGTGATAATTCTAGCTATTGTTGCTACGTTAATTATAATTTGTTGTGAATTGTAGAATTATTTTTCAATTTCTTTCATCATGGCGTTGAGATTACTTGTGATAATCCATTTTCCCTTTCATCAGACCCAGGAATTGGCAATATGATTTCATTTGGGGACATATCATTATTTTCGGACTTTTGATATTTAACGCATATAAATAAAGAACCCATAATAAGTCCAAAAGTCCCAATTAATCCTCCAACAATTGAACCGATTATTACACGTTTATTATCATTGTTTGCCGGTAGTTCACTGAAAACTGGGAATGGTGTACTTAATTTATTCGACACACTCGGCGCACTTGTCAGACTTGGTCGGGTGTTTGTTTGAATTCCCGAAGATGTTGCTGAAGGAATATTTGATTGAGCATTTAATAATTCAACCAGTATAAATTGAATAAGAATAAATAAAAATGTTAAGGATTTCATGATAAAAATTTAAAGAACGAATATTGTTTAAATATTTTAATCGTTTAAGCAATAAAATTGTAGCACTTTATATTCAAAAGTCACCGGTCGACCACATGATATTTGTCTTTATATTATTTCCATTTTAATCCAAATATCGAACATCGAGTGTCACAACAAAATAGTAGATCAGAAATTATATTTTCATTTATTTTATAAAAAAAGTTTTTGTGTAACGGAATGGAAAGAATTATTATTAATATTTTTTTTTTACGCGAATTATATTTTCGTTTAAAAGGAATGAATGCATTAAAAAATTTTACTTTTCTATTTTTAAAAGTGTATATATATATAATCAACAACATAAAAAGAAAAATATCCACAACTCGCCTAATAAATACCCTTATACACTCGCAAAATGTTTAATAATAAAAAGAAAATTCTTACCTATGACAGGTCAAAAATCAATCGATGCGATGGTTATATCTAATTTATGTAGCATAGCATTAATTTTTTCAACAGTTCGATAATTATATGATACTAGTTCTAAATATACTGTTCTGCTTTTATTTGCGAAATATATTTCATATGATTAAGTTGTTTTATTTTTTTTATTTTCTTTGATCATGTTAAATTAGTTTATGATATTGAACCCAGCAAGTTCATGATAACTATCCTAATTTTCTATTTAGTGATTTTATAAACATATAATAACTTTAACCAATCCTAATATTTACCTACCTATTTATGATTATTATTATTTTCGTTATAGAAATGGATAAAAGTGTATATTTCGCGACTATAGTTGAAAGTTGTAGCGAACTAAATTACATTGTGAAATGTATTTGATCTCGTGTTGATTATTAAGATCAAAATATTCACAACCAGATAGTATTCTAGACTAGGAAAAGCAATGATGACGTCAGTGGAAAGAGAAACTCACGTGATCGGAATTTTTCATGTATAAAAAAAAATCCTTTCCCCACGAAGAAAATTTTATTTTCCATTGATCGAACCTAATTATATTTCGAACCACCTTTATTGTTGAAAGGTTTAGAGAGTTGGTAAAATTACAATGATGTGGAAGGTACACAAAATACGACTTGACTGTAGATGTCTTCTCATGAATAGAAATGTTAATTTGCTCAAGCGGTTCAGCTTAAGTTTGGCTTTAATACTTTGAAACAAGCTAAGCTTTTTGAGAAAACGAGCTTCTGAGCAATGAGTTCGATGAGATGTTAAACGGTCCCAAATGATTGTGAACAAATTTAGAAATTACTAGTTATAGAAAAGTCTAATCGCTTATCTATATATAATAAGTAACTCTTGATAAAAAATTGACATAATAAATTTTATGAATGACTTTTAAAAGAAGTTGTTACTTTGAAATCGACACCTTTCATGGGACCAAGGTGGGTAGGACCGGGTCCTAGGTTTCAAAAATTAAGATACTGGATTCCCGCATAAGTTTAATATATTTTTTTATTTAATATTCAATTAATACATTATCATTAGAAAGTAAAATATACCGGCAGTAAAATAAAAATCTTCTTTAGGACTAGCAAATTTATTGTGAATTTTATAACCGTTTAGGACCGTTTAACATCCCTAAATAAGACAAAGACAAACTCGGATAAGTTAAATGGTTAGATTATATTAACTCAAAGTCATTCTTGCTACACAAACGAGTTAAATCTGCTTATTATTTAATCTATTAAAAAATTTTGATAAAAATCACTAAATAATTACGATATTTTTAATTTTAAATTTCTATTTGAAACATCACCAATTTATGGGTCGCTTGGATTATAAAGTAAAATCACAATCTATTTGATCAGAAAATCTTTCAATAAAATTAAATTATTCTTGCGCTGTAATAAATTTGAAAAGTCCAAATCCAAATTTTCAATTTTGATCAGTAAATATTTTTTATTGAAAACCGTGTGGCTTTATACATAAATTCTTCACAAATAATTCTTCTTTACTTTATTTTAAGGAATTATATATCGTGGTTAATAATATAATGTTTAAACTAAGAGAGTTCGCTGGTAATTATACGTTTCATCCGAGTATCTGCATTAATGCAATGTGTGTTAATTGAATGATAATTTAACAAGTAAATTTTAAAAATAAAATAGAAATCAAAGTTTACTTCACAATGTATAATCATATTTAACAAGAAATTAGTGATTTAGTGATACCAGCCGTGTATTTTGCAAAATTAAACGAGTCAACTCCGGTATTTTAAAATGACTAAGCCACTGAGTGAGTCGCTGATCAAAATTAGTCTGATAAATTTAATTCTGGAGAAAACATATACTTTTTTAAAACTTTAAATTTTGTTAAAATTAAATTATTCATAATTTAATGAGAGTTGACTGAGTCTTTTGATAAAAATAAACTGAAAATTAAGGAATTCCGAAACAAAATTTCTTTACACTAATGTAAAATGAAACTATTGTTATTTCACATCATATATAACACAACATTCCATAGCATTTTTAATCGGTCGATTCACCTGGCTTCCAAAATTATTCTCATTATAATAAATTTTCGATATTCATTATATATGTTTTTATAAATAGCAATATTACATTTCACGAATTACTTATCGCTATATTCTAAGCCCAGTTGTTCAGAAATACTGTAAACGTTATACATTTTCTTGTAACTTTATTCTTTCTCTGCGCATTCAAAATTCACATTACTGATGGTATAGTAAAGCACTAGCTGATGGAAAGTTTTATTTTGCTTAATGGCGATTCAAAAGTTTACAGCATTGTTGATCCTAAAAAATTCTATTACTTTCTTAAATATGGAAATTACTTTAAAAAAAGCTTCTTTTGCTCCAACTCCAAAATTAAAATCCAGTCCTGTACCAATTACGTTTATTCCTTTGAAATATCAACCTGGTAAATGTCATTGTGGAAATGAATACAATGAGACACGTTTATTTAGTCAAAGATATTGTAAAAATTGCTTATCCGAGTATATTAATTCTATAACTGATGATAATACGTATTTGGATGTGCTTATAGTTACAAATAAATATAAATATTATAGTTGTAATAATCATGAAGCTAGGAATGAGGATTTTTGCACGCCAAACATTCATGAATGGTGTGAAACTTGCTCCGAAATTTTATATTTCAAACAAGTATATAGTCAATATGATATTAATACTAATGATTATGAACTTAAAATGTTTGAAAATAATATGGATTGTAAATTATGTGGGAAGTTAGTTTATCAAGATAATTTATATAATTTTAAGATGTGTTCAGATTGTTATAAAATTTCTTCTGGGCGGGAAGGATCAAAATTAACGAAGAAAATTATACCAATTCTTTATTTGCCATGGTGGGATATGGAAGATACTTGTAACAATTGTAGTAGTGTTTTAAAGACTATATCAGACTGTCAAAAATGGTGTTCAAATTGCCAAGTAATTTATAATGGGTGTAGATATTGTTTAACAACAAATATTATTTTTGGAATTACAAATCAATCTCAATGTAAAAAATGCAAAAGAATATATTTTATTGATACGTCACTTATAAGCAGCGAACCAACATTTATAAGCAATGGAGACATTGACATCAATGGAGACAGTGACGTAGATGAGATCATTCACAAAACAAACCTTAATATTCTGACTGATGTTGATAAATATTTGGATATTATCGTGAATGATTATAATCCATTAAATGTATATAAATCTATTAAAAAAATCATTGTTTGTTTATGCTTTGCAATAACATGGATCCCATTTTCTCAACTTTCACATTTAGAAAAAATAGCACAAGGGGGATTTGGAATTATTTATAAAGCAAATTATTCAGGTGATTTATCTAAATATCGTAATAACAGTTCAAGTACTACATGTAAAATTGAAATTGTTGCTATAAAAAAGTTTTTAAATTCAAAGGATATAAGTCAATCTTTTTTAAATGAGGTAATAATTCAATATTCTATATCGGAATTATAAATTTATTTAATAATTTATATCAAATAATCTAAATTATATTTTTAGTTAAATTCACATCAGCTTTGTTGTTCTGACACTAATGTTAATCGTGTTATGAGATGTTATGGTATTACAAAAGATCCTGAAACCAACGATTTGATGTTAATAATGGATTATGCATCAGGAGGAGATTTGCATGATTATTTAAAAAGAAATTTTATTAAAATAACATGGAATAAAAAAAAATTAGGAATTTTATGGCAAATTTTAGATGGGTATTTACTTTTATATTAAATATATTGTTATATTTTATTAATATTTTATGATACTAATTTATTTTTTAAGTTAGACTCGAAACTATTCATAAAAAAAATCTCATACATCGAGATATGCACAGCGGAAATATGTTATTCGTTGAAGCAAATGAAAGAACCTATCAATGGCAAATTGGAGACTTTGGATTATCACATCCTGCAAATAATACTTCAATAAATAATGAAATATATGGAGTAATTCCTTACATAGCACCAGAAATATTTAATGGTGCTTCATTTTCAAAAGAATCTGATATTTATAGTATTGGTATGGTTATGTGGGAATTTACAACAGGTTGTAAGCCTTTCTCCGAGTTTGAACATGATATTCATCTTATTATTAATATTATTAATGGAAAACGACCTGAAATTACACAAGACACTCCAGAAATTTATGCTAATTTAATGAAAAAATGTTGGGATCCTGATCCTTTCAAAAGACCTCCTATAAAAGAAATCCGTAGAACTATTGGTAGTTGGTTTTATAGGAAAAATAAAGATAGTATGATTGATAAAGCTGAAGTACAACGATTAGAATTAATAAAATTAAAGAAACTTGGTCCTGAATTTACTGAAAAGCATCCAAAATCTATCTATATAAGTAGAACATTTTCTAGATCTTCAATGAAATCACTTATGAATTCACTTAATATGAAACAAGGTATAAATTATATAATGTGGGTTTATCAAATATTAATTTTTCTGTCTATTAATATTTATCTATTTCTATTCTAGGATATATTTCGAAGGAACATGAATATGATATAAATACCCAAAGGTAATGTAATTTCTTAATTATTAATACCATCCATTTTTAAATTGAATTAATTTATATTATGCAATATCTAGTTCGTCTTTAGCAAATAAAAATTCTAATATCCAGTATCAAGACGCAGGTTACGCTAACTTTTCATTAAATGGTAAAATATTTTATGAAAATACAGTACATGCCAATTAGGTTTAACTAATTATTTTTATTTGAATTTTTTATTCATTAGAATATACTTCTAAGGAATTGGAATTTGATATTTCAAGGTATTGTAATAAATTAATTTTCTTTAAAATGAAGATTTGCTAGAAATCCTTATATTTTTTTAATGAATTTTATAGGCAACCTGCAATAGATGTAAAGTCCACAACTCAGAATGCTTCAAATACACTGCATCAAAGTGGAACTTATAATATTCCATTAAATTCATCTATTTCATCTGAGATTTCTTCAAGAAAACGTGATATTGAAGAATCAGAAATCAACTCTCAAGTTAAGGGTAAGTGAAATTTTTATATTTACATTTTACTACATTTTCATGAAAATTAATTTTTTTTTTTTAAATTAAACTTATAGGAAAACGCGTTAAAACTGGTGATAGTTTAATTTCAGAATATCTTAATATAGACTTTACAGAGTGAGACTAAATTATTTAAATATACATGTACATAACTTGTATATTATGCTCAATAATTTTCGGTTTAATCTTTAGCAAAGTTTTCATTATTGACATTTCTGAATACGTGTCTTAATCATTAAATTTTTTCTGATCTTAATGATGACTTGTCAATGGGATATTATTTTTTTTTTAAAAAAAATAATTTATTTAAAGAAAATTCGTATATCTGAAATTATACCTTAAATTTGCCATTGACCCAATAGTTTGATGGCAAATTTTAGCGAATATGGCTTTTTTATTTAAAGTTTTTAATTTTCATGTAATTTTATATTTTATTATCATATTATTATCATGTTACTTACGCAAAAAAAACTCAGACCTGATCCTAGTTAAATAAATGAAGCAATCAGGCTCTTCTTTGCGGTATTATAACGATAAGATATCCTTATCCTTTCAAGAATAAAATAAAAAAATTTTTACTCGGGAGTTCTTAACTTGGTTTATTATGACAAGACAAACTAATGATTAATGAGTTACAGCATTTCATTCGCATGCCATATATATTGGGTCGAAACCGATGTACCAGAATAAAGTGCAATCCTAACTACTTGAGAATTAATCAAACAATTGTAATTAATTAAAGTCTTTACGAATAATTAGGACTCACTAAAAATTATTACATCTAACTTATTTCCGTAGAATAATTTACTTGTATAGGGAGCGAAGTAGTTTGTTGAAACGTTATTATATCAGAACAATATTAGGAGCCGCTCACAGCACACAGCTTGTGAACAGAAATGTTGGTCAAGCATTGTGACCAAAATATTATTATCGATTGCGAATTTCTACAAAAATATTTTTGATGCGTTTATAACATCAAATCACGAACATCACGACCTATAAATTACATTATGCACTAGCAGGGGAGGGTGGGTGGTAAGAAAAATCGTAAACGGGTATTTGCAAATTTGTAAATTTTCAGACAAGAGAAAATTTGGGAGGTTGTTTGAAGAAATTGGTCTAGAAGTCTAATTTATAATGTAATAGTCTAAAATCACCATTGAATTCAATTTACGAAAATTGAATGGCGCAGTAAATGAACGAAATATTAAGATTTTGTTAGACTTTTGTAGATCGTAGGCCTACTTCTGGCCAAATTGTCTACCGGTATATAGCAAACATGTAGTGTATGGTTGACACTGTATGTATTGTATGGTAGGGTATATACCCTCATGTATGGTATGTATGGAATGTATGGATTTTTAGATTAATAATGAAAATAAACAATAAAAAAAAAAAAAGATAAAAAAAAAAAAAAAAGTAGAGATCGAAAACTAGAATTGGAAAATCTTAAATTGCGCAAAGAACTTAATCTTGACTAATGTAATATTGAATATTATTAACAATTCAATTGTGCATATAAATTTAAATAAAAATAATTTTTGTTTTTGGTTTATCTATATATTTATAATTGAAAAAATTTGTCACGCCCCTATATAAATTTAATTCCTTATGAGCCTCGCTACGTAATTCTATTGTAATTTTGTAAATGTTTGTGTCATCACTTTATAGTACATTAAGAAATATTTATTTTTTAAATACTTAATTTTTTTTTTGCAAATCCTAACCTTATGTATGGCCGAAAATAAGTATAGCATACATAGCATCCATACATGTATGGATACAATCAAAGCATACATAAGCATATAATACATATAATACATACAACGTTAATCATACACTACATGTTTTATAATCACCTTTGTCTACCGGCCGGCCAATTTGTCTCCTGGCCAATATGTCGTCCGGTCATTATGTTTCGTGGACAAAAAGGCTCCTGGACAATTAGTCCTTGCTGGGTTTTAAGTATAAAAGAGTTGAGTTTCGCTTGAGTATAAGAGCATGTTCCTACATAATAATAGATAGTATTAATATAATATTTTCCTTTCCCTTTTATTTGTAACGATAACGATTTTAAATTACGTATCTAATCGTATAGAGCGCCGAACGATTGAGGCAATACCTTATTTAAGTAGATTTATGTTAGATTTCAATTGTTACTAATAAAGAAGCATTTAAATAATAAACCTTCTGCTTACCCTACTATTGTTTATAACCAATAAACGCGTGCAATAATATCGTTCCAAGCTTTCCGTTCCGTTAAATGCCATTGCCTTATTGAATGAACTAGAAAGCCTTTTAAATGTACATGATGTATGTATTATGACTAAAATATTCTTCTTTAATTAGGTCTTAACTTACCGAATTTTATTTAAACTATGATAATAGGTAACTCTCACTATATATATTGGGCATTTACTATTTGATTTTTATTACTTACTCAACAATCTGTGTCTATACAGGTAGCTTTAATTTTCTCACATGATTTTACAATTAAATAATAAAAAATATGTTCCTTTTTGTTGACTAAAACTATGTGTTAGTTCGGTTAGTCGGGGACGATAAAAAGAAAATTTTTGTTTACAATAATTTAATAGAACATTATTTATCAAATAACAACGTGAACTACTCATAACATAATCTATATTTCCGCTACTTGAATATGGAGGCTCGTTATTAAATTGATTTACTATTTACTATGTCTCGTAACTTATTTTATTAGCAAACACAATTATTTTCAAGTTAATGTTTTTTCCTATTTTCGATATAGGTCAACGTTTTTTATAGACTTTACGTTACTTCGGTGAGAATTCTGTAACTTGTGCGGATATTTGGATAAAATTTTAATTTATGTCAAATGTCAATAGCTAGTTAATTTTAATAAAAGCGGAGAAGTCGAATTTATTGATAAATGCATTAAAGTTGATCAAATAAATCAACATATAATACTCGTTAAATCTCGAAATCCCGAAAGTAAATAATCCCGTGTTAAAATCCGAATAAACATCATCCTTAAATCACATTAGCCGTAATAATCCCGAATGATATTATCATAATAATATAAAAATCTACTAATATAAAATTATCCAAATTTTACAAATTTTAAAATTATTATTTTAGAATTTCATTTTTCATTTTTTATTTTTAAAATTATAAAACTTTTAAAGAAAGTAAGATATATATGTATATATATTACTTTTAAAAAATATATAATCACTTGTGAATTGCAAAACATTCACTACGAATACGCGCGTTGCTCCATAATTAAAATGACGTCATCGAAATAATTTGTTTCCTTGAGGTAAATTATCAATACTACCTTGTTTTAATTTGGAAGCAATGCAATAACGACATTTGCTAAAAAGTGAACGACGGCATACAATGTCAATGAGATTTACTTGCCTAAGCTGAACAGACAAAAAATTATATATTTGCTAATTTATTCAACATATGGTGGGTGTTCGGCTAAATCATATTATTGAGATGACCGGTGTTACCAGAAGAACTCTTTTAAAATAGCCATCTCAGCCTCTTAGAAATAAAACTCTAATTTTCCAGAAGATTTATTCATAACTTTGCGTAAATCATTTTACTTTTCATTTCCATCTTTTAAAAATTCTTAAAGAAATCGCTATTAATTGGTTAATAAACTTTGGGGAGAGGAAACGTAGGACAATTCATTATCAAATACAAAATGGTATTTAATTTCATTATTTCAAATAATCCACATCAATTTATTTCACAAAGAACCTATTTGAGTTGAAAGAGCGTAATTCTCAAGATATGAAACAAGGTACACGTATATTTTTTCTAATTCCATTTAAAATCGTAATTATTTACCTAAAACTGTAGCATTTTTACTTTAGATACCACATACCAAAGAAAATAAGATTAAATTTCTTGTATAAATATTTTATATTACGATGGGCTTTTTTTTTAATAAATTATGACTGCTTCATCTGCACCATCAATAAATAAATGTTATCGTGATAACTAAAGGACGTGAATTTTTGTTGGTCATTATCTTATCATTACCATGAAAAAATCATCCCAGAAATTTTAATATATAGATGTTATTTCGATTGCAAAAATTGCAAATGGATAACAAATGTGAGTTTATACTATATGGCCATTTAAATTATAAATCGTAATATGTAACCATGTGAAATTATTGATCATGTGGATTGCCGAGAAATCCATAATGTACTAATTTTGACGTTTGGAATTATATTTTCTAAATTGAGTATATAACAAAGATTTCCTTATAAAGGTTATTTAGAAATTACCGTAATGAAGATTGGAACGATCCGATAGGTGTTTTCGATTCTTTTGATTCACACAGCATACATACGTCACACATCAATTAATTACGAATTCTAAGACTGCACAATCGATTAGACCTTATATATGTAATAATGCCTCAAATCAATTAAAAAGCAGAAAAGGTGTGTACGGAAATTGCCTTTATTTGTGTAAAGTTGTAATACAAAAATTTCCGAAAATCAATGTAACAAAATCTTTAAAACTTTATCAAATTCATATTTATTTCCCTTTCCTCACTCAAACCCTTTCGTACTTGATTAATATTCAAACGTGCGTGTCTAATTAACATTAATACACAACATAATATCCACAATCCTTTGCGTATTTCCCCCTCCTTAAATCATACAAATTCTCTCATCTTTCATTTATCATACAAAATGAAGTCATTTCAAATTATCATCAAGGGCTTAATATATATTTTCTCGGTCATTAACCTTGCCAATGCTGGTATTTCTCCATCATTTCCAATTGGAGACTCGGTGGTAAGACCCGGAGAAACTGTAAGTAGTCGAACGTTCGCTTTTACGTTGAATCACGTGATATTCCTGACGTTTGAAGAATTTTTGATTTTAGGTAAAAATAAAATGGATTGATGATGGCCAAAAACCACCATTATCAAAGATGCCCAATGTAGCGGTTGAATTTATGACAGGTAGTGATTTGGAACAGGTCACGTTGGCACCCATCAGTAAAGTACCCGGTACAGCTAAAGAATTGGATTGGAAAGTTCCATTAGTTGAACCAGTGGGAAAAAGTATGTAATCCTTTAATCCTTTGATTATTATAATTTGCGATCACTTCAAATCAATGATGCTTAAATTTTACATTTTCATTTCGCATTCAGTTTACTTTTTGAAATTTACATCCGGTAAAGATCTTTTTTGGACAACAAGGTTTACTGTAACTGATAAAGATGGTAAATTCCCAACTGAAACAGGTCCCATACCAGAAGTTGGTAAGAATCCAGGTGGTCAAGGAAAGATCATTGATGACTTTTCTGGTAAAGGGAAAGAACAGGCTGATGAAAAAGCTAAAGGTGATAATAAGGAAAAGATTGGAAGTGGTGTTGCTCCCAAAGCTGAAAAGGACGTAAAAGAGCCTAATAAAAATTCAAATACATCTCCAAGTGCGAATGATAAAGCGAAAGACAATAATTATTCAAGTTCTGCCAATAATTATGGAATTCAAATGTTAAACGTTCTTTTGGGTATTTGCGTTGCTAACGCATTTTTTTAATAAATTCATTTTACATAATAATATAGACTTTAATATTGTAGAATTATTTTATCTTCTGTAAACTATTCATCTTATATTTATAAATATTTCTTAATTCCTGATACTGTAACACAATATTTTGACTAGTTAAAAAAAAATAAATATTTTATGATCTTGTAATTATTTCATTTTCTACTTGAAAAACGGCAAAGATATATTGTGTATCCAATATGGTAATTTATTTATGCCATTTAAGGTTAAAACAAGGGTCATAATCTTTGTTATTTTATAAACGATGATCGTCGATGATTTTTTTATTGGCCCAATTTTCATCCTTGGAGATTTTGTAATTGTTTGTTGACTTTTTTGGTTGGTACCAGCCGTCCGACTCTTCATTTGAAATTTTCATAATTTAATATTAACTTTCTTAATATTTAACAAATATTTTTAAATGTATTAATGTTGCAAAAGTAGATGGTTATAAGTTTGGCCAAAATAAAGTTTGAAACTTTATTTTATGAGAATTTCGTGATGTTCTGACATTATATCAATTTGGAAAGGGTGAATCAGTCATGGATCAGTCATTCGAAAATTCCGGAATCGATTCCTCTTGGTTTTTGCAGAGTCGACTCAGCCGTCAACTATGACTCCAAAACTCGTGGGTATCGTTTCTCGTATTTTAAAAAAAATATTTTCAAAAGGAATAATTCAAAAAATAACTTACATTTATTAATTCAAGGAATCTTTTAAACGATGACTCAAAAAAACTCGATAGGTACGCATTCCAGGTGTCACTCATGCTATTTTCGCGCCAATGCGACCTTTTTCTAAACTCCCCTTTCTTTTATCCTCCTTCAGTTCCTTTATCCTTCAACAAATGTATCTTCTTCACCTTTCCGCTGTTCTTTCTTCTGTCTCTTCCTCTATTTCTTACATCTTTCTAACTTTACAACCTTTCCTTCGCATTTCCCATTACCACTTCTCATTCCTAAGTTTATCCTCACTCTCCTATCATTCCCGTTCCTCTCTCATTTTCCTTTTTTTCATCAATTTCTTCTAATATTCCTCTCCTCCTTCCATCTCTTCATCAGATTCATCCCCTTCTTCATTTACCTCTTTCGATTCTTTCCATTTCTTCTTCTTCCAATTCTTTCATCCTAAATTGATTCTTCTCGTTTTTAATCGTCCCTTTATCCATTATCTTCTTAAATGGCCAAAGCTGATAGATCTTGATCCATCTGGCATTTTTATTGAAACCTTTTTTTCCCCCCAATCAATGGCCTTGCTATCGGATCTTAATCTCCTGGTATTTACATCGTCATTGATTATGGTTTTTACCCTTTTCCTCTCCATTTTTAACATCTTTTTTTCTTTATCGTCTTAGCAAGCACTATAAAAAAAATTAATGAAAATTAAATTAAAAAAATTTCATTAAGTAAATTTTACTAGAGTGTTTATCATTGATAAGCATAATAACTATACAAAGGTATTGTAGTCTATGAAGTTGGTTGATTTGTCTTTCTCGTTTGCCATTAAAATTCTCACTCTTTTGGCTATTTCATTCTTTTTTAGTTTAGAATGTTTAATTTCGGCAAGATAAAAGTTTAACGTTGCGCAATGTGACACAAAGTGGCACAGTAATTAAGTTCAATTAAGGATGCTATCCTAAGCTACTAAAAATTAGTTTCGGTTAAACAAAACTAGTTTCAGTAGTTTCGGCTATTAACTAAACTAGTTCAGTTATTCTAAACTACGGAATTTTAGTTTCGGACAGCAACAACACTACGTTCAATATAAAAATTTTTCATTACTTTTTTTCGTCATTGCATTTTTCATTGATTAAATACAGATCTCAATTAATTGATATTTCGTTTACTTAAACGCATCGGATGACTATAGCATAATTAATGTAAGATGGATATTTCATATTTATTCGATTCGATTTCATCAATTCGCAATCCTTCGTTATGATTCAATACAATATTCAAGATCGAAACACTTCTTTTGGAGATCACAGCTAATATTTCCATCAACTTTTCGAATGATGGTAATATGTCAAGCATATTTTATTTAAATATACTGTAAATATCCACATTTCGACGGTTCAATACCAATCTAGTTTTTGAGCGCTTTAAGGTAATACATACAGAATATTACTTATTATTTATATACAGTAATAAAGAGAGCGACTATCTTTTTTTCTTTCACGAAATTTTGTGATGGCATTAATTACAATTTTCACTTGTTTTCAATATATTTTTTTTCAACTCCTCAGCATCCTTTATTGATTTGAGAAATTTAATTTCATTAAAACACAAAAAACATTTTTAATTCTTTAAACATTTACTTACAGTAAAAGTATTAACAGCTGTGTTATGAGTCCGATGTTGATAAAATCAAGTTTATTACGCGAATTGTTTTGATAGTCTTCAATTGAATTTCAAAAATACTTTTGTAACTTTTTGTTTTACTTTATGAAAAATTTTTTCTGTTGCTTCATCATAAAATATTTTTCGCAAGGACAAAGACATTATCTTTTCCAATTATAATTGTTGAGTTCGTTGTGAAGAAAATATTAAGTTTTTAATACTCTTAAGTTTTTTTATCAGACAATCGTCTTTTTTCTTTTTTTTAAAAACAAATATATATATATATATTTTAAAATTTTGTAATTACCTTTTTTCATTAAAGTAATAATTGCAAGTAAAAAAAAAAAATTTCTGAATTTTCGTTGACGATGAACGAAGATATTGTGAAATCAATAATCTTGATCGTTTTGTTAATATCAAATAAACTATGTATAGCGAATCAGCATTTTCATTGGCAATTTGAAGTTTTTCAATACAATATTTTGTCACATAACATATCTAAAAAGGTTTGATACATCCTCTTCCTGAGAAGAATGATATGGGAGGTTTGCTAGGAAAATGGGGCTCTGAGCATTTTTTATTAAAATTTTAATTTTTATTGCATTTTAATGTTTGATACTATTAGGTTAAAATGCAATAAAAATTAAAATTTTAATTAAAAATGCTCAGAGCCCCATTTTCCTCTCAACTACAATTGAGACTTCAAATTTATGCAAAAAAGATCTTCAATTCAATCACAAACTGAAAGCGAACCAATCAAATGAATTTCAAATTCTTATTGGTTATTCGTTCAGTTAAGTAAAAATAGTTGTTATATCATATGAGAAAGATTTTTGGTAATTTTAAAATTTTAAAATAGTCATCATCAGAATCAGTTGCAGTCGTAATAAAGGTTCAAATTTTGCATTTTTATTCTTCAAACGTTATCTTTTCATTTTCCAGAATGAAAGAAAAAATATTCTACAGTATTAGACTTTGATATTATTTGATTTAAAAAAAAAAATCTATATTTAATCGTCGCAGTACGATACGATTGAAATTTTAAAAAGAAAAAAAAAATCCAAAAAGAAAAAAATAATTCGATCGCTGTAGACACTTGTATTTTCTGGCGTCAGCGATATTAATAATTGACAACTTTGCTAAAGATCAAACCGTAAATTATTGAGCAAAAAATAACAAGTTATATGTATTCTAAATAATTCAGTCTCACTCTGTAAAATCTAATTTAGAGATTCTGAAATTAAATTATCACCAGTTTTAACGCGTTTTCCTTTAAAATTTAATTAAATAAAAAATAATCAATTTGCATGAAAATGTAGTAAAATGTAAATATGAAAATTTTCACTTACCCTTAACTTGAGAGTTGATTTCTGATTCTTCAATATCACGTTTTCTTGAAAATTTTTCAGATGAAATCGATGAATTTAATTATTATAAGTTACACTTTGATGCAGTGTATTTGAAGCATTCTGAGTTGTGGACTTTACATCTATTGCAGGTTGCCTATAAAATTCATTAAAAAAATATAAGGATTTCTAGCAAATCTTCATTTTAAAGAAAATTAATTTATTACAATACCTTGAAATATCAAATTCCAATTCCTTAGAAGTATATTCTAATGAATAAAAAATTCAAATAAAAATAATTAGTTAAACCTAATTGGCATGTACTGTATTTTCATAAAATGTTTTACCATTTAATGATAAATTAGCGTAGCTTGCGTCTTGATACTGGATATTAGAATTTTTATTTGCTAAAGACGAACTAGATATTGCATATTTAATAATTAATAATTTAATATGGATAAACAACATATTAATAATTAAGAAATTATGGTACCTTTGAGTATTTATATCATATTCATGTTCCTTCGAAATATATCCTAGAATAGAAATAGAAAAATATTAATGGATGGAAAAATTAATACTTGATAAGCCACATTATATATAATTTATACCTTGTTTCATATTAAGTGATTCCATAAGTGATTTCATAGAAGATCGAGAAAATGCTCTACTTGTGTATATTGATTTTGGATGTTTTTTAGTAAATTCAGGACCAAGTTTCTCTAATTTTATTAATTTTAACCGTTTTAAATCTGCTTTATGAAATTGTTCACAATTTGTTTTTTCATGAAACAAATTACCAACAGTCCTACGAACTTCTTTTATAGAAGGTCTTTTTGAAGGATCAGAATCCCAACACCGTTTCATTATATTAGAATAACATTCAGGAGTATCCACTGTAATTTCAGGTCGTTTTCCATCAATAATTTCAAAAATAAGATGAGTATCATGTTCAATATTATCAAATGGTTTACAACCAGTTGTAAGTTCCCACATGATCATGGCCATGGCATAAACATCAGAAGCTTTTGTAAATGACGCGCCTTTAAATACTTCTGGTGCAACATAAGGCATTACTCCGTATATTTCATTATTTGAAACATTATTCAAAGATTGCGATAATCCCAAATCTCCAATTTGCCATTGATATGATGGATCATAATCTTCAAAAAATAATATATTTCCACTATGAATATCTCGATGTACGAGTTCCTGATTGTGAATAGTTTCAAGTCTAATTTTAAAGGAAAATTTAGTATTATGACTATTAATTATAATTTGAATCAAAATATAAATACCCAACCCATCTAGAATGTCCCATAAAATTTCTATTTTATTTAAATCATTTTTAATCCTTTTAATCCATTTGATTTTTGCAAAATTACTTTGTAAATATTTATGCAAGTCTCCTCCTGATGCATAACCCATTATTAACATATAATCATTAGTTCCAAAATCTTTCGTAATTCCATAACATCTCATAACACGATTAATATTATAATCAGCACAACAAAGATGATGCGAATTTAACTAGTAATAAAATTTAGATTATTTCAAATAAAAATTACTTTCAGACATAAAAATATTTAATAATTACCTCATTTAAGATAGATTTGCAATCTTCTTTTGAATTTAAAAGCCTTTTTATCGCAACTGTATGTTCTTTTTTATCATAAGTACATATAGAGGTATATTTAGGTATACCATCTAAATAATTTGCTTTATAAACGACACCAAATCCCCCTTTTGCTATTTCTTTTAAAATTGTAAGTTGAGAAAATGGGATCCATTTAATTGCTGAGCGTAAAGAAGTAATGATTTTTATAATAGATTTATATACATTTAATGGATTAGAATCATTCACAATACTATCCAAATATTTATCAACCTGAGTCAGAATATTAAGGTATGTTTTGTTAATGAACCCATCTATGTCACTGTCTCCACTGCATATAACTGTTGTTTCGTTACTTATAAGTGACGTATCAATAAAATTTATTCTTTTGCATTTCTTACATTGAGATTGATCTGTCATTCCAAAAATAATATTTGTTGTTAAACAATATCTACATCCATTATAAATTACTTGGCAATTTGAACAGCATTTTTGACAATCTGATATAGTCTTCAGATAACTACTACAATTATTACAATTATAACTATTATCCCACCATGGCAAATAAATAATTTTCTTCGTTAATTTTGATTCTTCTCGTCCAGAAGAAATTTTATAACAATCTGAACACATCTTAAAATTATATAAATTATCCTGATAAATTAACTTCCCACATAATTTACAATCTTTATTATTTTCAAACATTTTAAGTTCATACTTATTCAAATAACCTGTACTTCTATATACTTGTTTGAAATATAAAATATCGGAGCAAGTTTCACACCATTCATGAATGTTTGGCGTGCAAAAATCTTCATTCCTAGCTTCATGTTTATTACAACTATAATATTTATATTTATTTGTAACTATAAGCACATCCAAATACGTATTTTCATCAGTTATAGAACTAATATACTTGGATAAGCAATTTTTACAATATTGTTGATAAAATAAACGTGTCCGAGAACAATCATTTCCACAATGACATTTACATTTATCACCCCATTTGTATTTAGAAGGAATAAACCTAATTGGTACGGGACTGGATTTTAATTTTGGAGGAGTTTGATCAAAAGAACCATTATTTATAGGAGTAATTTCCATATTTAAGAAAGTAAATATTAAAAAAAAAGAATAGTTTATGACATTTTATATTTAATTAATGTTACACAAAACATTGTCCGATATGCATGTTCTTTACCGAATGTCCAATTTAAATTTCTAGAATTCTTTAGGATCATCAATCTGTAAACTTTTGATAAAATTTTCGGTTGGTGTTCCATCAGCTAGTGCTTTACTTTACCATCAGTATGTGAATTTTGAAGGCGCAGAGAAAGAAGAAAATTTATAACGTCTGGGCTTATAAATAATTTGAATATAGCGATAAGTAATTCGTGAAACGTATATTGATATTTATAAAAATATATATAATGAATCTCGAAATTTTATTATTATGAGAATAATATTGAAGCCAGGTGAATCGAACGATTTAAATTTGTTTAAAAATGTTATGGAATGTTAAATGATGTGAAATTCATATTGGATAAAAGTTTAATTTAATTTTACATTAGTGTAAAGAAATTTTATTTCGGGAATCCCTTAATTTTCAGTTTATTTTTTTTTTAAAATTTCTCAAAAAGAAAGAGAATGCATACATAATAAATTCACTTGATAAATAATAAAAGATAACAATTCTGGGTAGACTGACTCGAAAAAAGATAAAGGGCTAGGAAAAAAAATCACTTGATCGATGAAATGTCTAATACTGATAAAGATCCTGCATTTACTGTATCAATTTGGATTACATCAACTTTGATTAAAACAAGTCCTCAGAAATTTTTATTGAATAAATTATTTTTATTTATATATTTATTATTTCTTGATTCAACCTAGTTATTAATCTAATCATTTTACTGGCCCAACTTTATTAAATATTCGATAAAAATGCGATCCAGCTCGATTCAAAAAACGTATGGGAGTGTTTCCAGTAAAATCACATTACGGATCATATGATTTACTATGCCTCATGACTTGATTTTGCTGGAAACGTTCTAAACTCTCGGTTAAAACAACTTTTTTGTGTATTTTAACTCTTAAGCTGTTAACTCATTGTATATGGCATTTTGTCTCACCTGGCATCATGTTAATCCAAAGCTATGTACAGTACAGTAAGTTTATGGCTGTCTACAACCCATTTCTTTATGAAATTTCTCCTTTGAATTTCATTTTTTACAAGTTTTAGTTTTTGTTTTTAAAGTCATTTTTCATTGTTTAGGACGTCTTCTTTTAGTATTAAGGAAAATTCTTTGTGATGTATCACAAGTTCACATACGTGAAAATAAAATGTTGTAACTTTAATAGTTTATTAATATGCAAAGGTCATACTTAAAAATAAATTTTCATACACAAAATAACAAAAGCCAATTTAACGTTATTTTTCAGCAAAAAAAAAAAAAAAAAAAATTTCATTCGTGTGTTTCGATAGTAGTACATTATATATGTAGGGATTATCAAATTTACTAAATATTATTATAAAAAAGGATCAAAGAAGAATTTAGTACTAATCATTTCTCAATTGACGATAAAAATTTTCAATGCATAAAAATCCCACCCTACCGAATATTTTATTTTATTTTATTTTATTTTGTTTATGAAAAGCTCATGAGGATCCAGTAGAAGACATTTTCTTTAGGCGCCAAGTAATGCTTCGGATGGTATAACTTTTCTCTTTCTCAGACCTTTCGGATCTGTAGAATATAATAAAAGGAAAAATGAAATTAAAGGAAAGTTTTGGAAAGGAAAGGACTGAATAATAAAAATAAAAGCCACTAATGGTCAACAATGAGGTGTTTAAAGGTTATGATGCTTTCTCAAAGAAAAGGCATGTGAAAAAAAGACCAACTACTCGAAGGAAATTTTCACGTGTAAGGCAAAATATTTCTGCGTCTGCATCCAAGTACTAAGCCGTCGCTCTTAACCTAATATAAAGATAAAACCAGAAAATGCTTCTTCTTTTCAAGCTAAACCTTTTACTAACACATCATTAATCAAAAGCAGTTAAAGGAATGTGGGACACGATCAACAGATAGAAACCAAAAGGAAGCGAACATTATTTAACCCATACAATGGCCCTTCAGCACCGCCTAGAAATCGAGAATAAACAATAACAACAATATAATAAAAAAATATAGATTTGTGATCTAAGAATTATTAGGAATTCGTGCTTAGGGCGGTTGGGGTCAGATCATAAGAGTCAATGTATTAAAGGAACGAACTCGTAAAGATAATTTCTACGCTATAGCACTGGGATAACACTTGTCTATAGAAATGAACATCCCGGGTATATCGAACCTGTAGGTCAATCAATATTTCACGAATATTGTTGGGCTCGTAACCAGAATGGAAAACCACCACTACTAATACAACAAATACCTTGAAAAAAGCACGAAAATATGGGAAAAGCGTGTTCAAAGTTTAAAAAAAGATAAAAGATGTTTAAAATTTGAGCAATATTTTTGGAGTGCGAAGCTATATTTTGCTGTTTCTTTTATAATAAAAATAGATGAAAGAAAAATAATGATGTAAGATCAGTTTAAATTGGTGTATTAGCGTAAATGAATATTTATTATTACTTAATTTAGCAAATATTAAAATTTAACCACCCCCGACTGCAGCAATTCTCGTGTTAATGAGTTATCAATGAGATCCTGAAAATTAATGTCGCCTATAAATTTTTGATCGCTAATGAAAAAAATTGAGGTGAACAGGTAGATAAGTATTCTCTAATTATTTATTGTTTTGACAACTAATTTTTTTATTTACTTGATTTATTTATTTTATCTTTGATCTTTGGATCTATAGACTAAAAATTTTTCTCAAGAATTGCGGTTGACGATCCACATTATTGATGACATTTGACGTTTGTTAATTTTTACTTATTAGGAAACTTTACAAAAAATAAAACCTGTTTAAATCTGGATCAGGGGCGGATTTTCCGCATAAATCAACTGTGTTCAATTATTTTAATTTATTAACAATAAAATGGCAGAAACATGAAATTCAAAAACTTTTTGTTGCTTTATAAACTTTTCATCAATTATTTTTCTCCTAAATTACTCGTTCAGACTTTTTCTTTTCACCCAAATGAACCCGCCCCTAAAATTAATAACGCATCCAGCTCGGCCTCAACGATGGCTTTATTAGAATAGTTATTAAAACAAAATTCAGCCGAATTTGTTAATTTCTTAAAAGAAAGCAAATTTTCCTTTGATTGACTTACTTTCCTCCCAAATTTTAATAAGCCTTGCAATCTTTCGCTTGTGAAAGATTCCAACTCCAAGCTCGTAAAAATCTTGCGAAATTACGTCATTAACTTCTTTATGATCTAAGAAAAGTTATCATCTAAATAAAAAATCTTTATCAAACAAGCCTTTTTGGTTTATTATTTGTGCTGTAGGATGTAATAAATAAAAAAAAAAGATAACGAAAAAATCTCAACTAAATAATTATATGAATTTATTCTGTTCTCGGAAACTAAATTATAAACTATATTGAAACTAAGAGAATATGAAACGAGAACTGCGGAATGAAGAAAATATAGATTAAACATCATTGATACCAAAATGGCCCGCTAAAGTGTCAAACCCCCCGAAGAATGGTTACTAGCTGGCGGGAGTTTTCTGTCATATTAAAATTAAGAATAATGTCGTTCCGTTGCCGACAAATATATCTTAGTTTATGTGTAAATTACTAATTACTAGCGATGAATTTTTTCCCTTTTTTTTTAAATGGAATTGCGGGAAATTTTTGTAATCCATGTCGTGTAAGTGTCACGCATGACATAATTTTTCGCATAAGGTTTTTTGATGATCATGTGACCTGGAAACTAATTTTTGTAATTTCTGCGCCAAAAATTTTACACATTTTTTTTAACGTATGAAAAGCCAAATTAGTTTAAGATATAAAATTTAAATATTTAATTTTAATTTATCCTAATTTTGCTTGACCAAAAATTAAAACAGACCAAATCCCTGTTTTAAGTTCTGAGATTTTTTTTTTCGGCTAAAATTAAGATCTTATTGAATTTTTAATCTAACATCATCAAAAACTGTGCAATAAATCGGAAAGATTTTACAGATAAACGTTTTGATCTTAAAAGTATAATTATAGTTCACGAGTTTTAATTGAGAATATAGATTTAATTAATTTAGTCACCCATTACTATGCCTAATATGTGTTTATCATTTTTAGTTATATACCGTCAAGTTCTATTAAAGCTTTCGTGTTTGTCGCAACTCATGAATTGTGATTCCTTTTTGCAATAAGAAAATCTCTATGAAATACGTTTGAGGAATATACTTGTTTACTGCCGATTCCGTAGATCTGATCGTTTATAACGTAAGAATTTAATTATGTCTTTTTCTTTACAATAAATTGGAACAGACAAATTCAACCGAATGCACCTGCTATTGCGGTAGTAAATTTACTAATAAGATTTGTGTTCAGGTTGTTATAAAAAAAAAAAGGTTCCAATCATGGTGAGATCTTCTTTGAATTGTGATAAAGAGATTTATAGATGTTTGTCAAAAATGCTGTTCGATGTGCTACATAATATATTGGATGTACTGTAGATATTATTTGACAAAAATGTTTCTGGACCTTTAGAACAGTCGCAATGTATATAATTGCCTGATAGTTTAATATCATTAGTGTATATGGCTTGCGTTAGTCAAAGTTACTCAATACTTTCAATAAACACAAAAAATATAGTCAAGAATAAACAGGTAAACGGTAAGCTTCATATTTACTTACTGTAAAAGCATCTAAGGGCGCATCAAAGTTTATTGGTTTTTTAACAATCTATATAAATCAAATAAAATAATGGTAATACTGATCAAATATCAAAAGTAATCATTATCATCGAAAAGTCCTGATTTGGTCATCATGCTGCTGGTGCTTCTTGGTGAATTCACTGCTTTATAAGCTGAACAAAGATTTTAATTTACTAAAATAAGTTCGCTAAGTTGCTATAATACTTACCATCATGATTCTTTATAAACGATCTCTAATATGCCCGCTCTATTACGCTCTACGTACGACTTCTAACATTGAATCTATTAATACCATAAAATATTATTTTTAAACAAAGAAATTAAATAAATGTTGAGACGAGCAAAACAATTCGTTTATACAGTATTTTCTTGGATGCCATCTCGACGATCCTTTTTCAGGTGCATTTTACAATCACGTGCTTTAAATATTTATTTCTAAAGTAAACTTATGAACCAATAAAGTGTTTAAATCTGCAACCATAAATTTTGTCAATACTAAATAAATCAAGGTACGAGACACGGTAAACGTTGCGATAAATTTCTTACATTCCACTGAGGGATAAATATTGCATACGCGTCAGCGTCCTATTGAAAAGTATGATCAAAGACGAACTAGCTAAATGAACACACAAACATTTATTGAAATTATGAACCTTAACTCCTTTTGTTTATCTTATTACACATGATCTTTTTAAAAGAAAATGAACTTAAGAGGTTAATTTGTAAATTTATATTCGGAAGTGTAGGATTGGTTTACTCATCTTGTTCCAAAATATTGTTTTAATGATATGTTACAAAGCAATTATACAAATTGAAAAAGATAAAATATATAAGATAAATTTAATGATTTTTAAAAAAAAATATTTGATACAATTATCAATCATGTTAAATATTTATTTAGCAATTCTAAAAGATCATCCAAACTTGGTTTAACCTCCTGGCGACCATTGTCTAAAGCTCTCATATACCAATATATAGCATTATTTATATTCAATTCTACCCCATCACCTTGCTCATATTTATGTGCAAGAGCTATTTGCGCATCACTATTTCCTTCATCAGCGGTTATCTGATATAAGTCCGACGCCATTACTTTGTCGACATCAACAACGATTCCATGATCATAAAAATATCCCATTTTATATTGAGCGTCTAAATATCCTTTATTAGCTGATGCCTTATAAAATTCAAGTGCTCTAGTTAAATTTTTATCAACTCCTTTTCCAAGTTCATAAAATTCTCCCAAATGATACAGTGCAACCTTATTATCATCGTTTGCAGCTTCATGATACCAACAATTAACTTTATCCAAATCGCTTATCCCAACATTTTCTGCATCGCCATCCTTTCTTGCGGCTGCCTCATCATATAATTTGAATCCTTTTTCTTTATTAATTTTTGTTCCAATTCCGTTTATATGGCAATATCCAAGTAGAAATTTTGCTCCAAAATACCCTTGTTTGGCAGATCTTTGATAATATTCGAATGCTTTGATCTCATCCTTTTTAACCCCTCTTCCTAATTCATAACATTCCCCTACACTACACAGTGCAATTTCATTTCCATTTTCTGCCGATTTTAGATACCAGGAAAACGCTTTTTCTAAATCCTTTCCTATTCCTTTACCGCTTTCATATAAATAACTAAGATAATCTTGTGCAATATAATATCCATTCTCTGCCGCTTTTCGATACCAATAAAAGGCTATCTTCAAATCTTTTTCTATACCTTCACCATTCTCATATAGATAACCCAGATTACTTTGTGCTGCATTATATCCACTTTTTGCTGCTCTGTGAATCCAATAAAAAGCCTTTTCTAAATGCTTTTTGATTCCTTCATTCTTTTTATATAAACATCCAAGATTATTCTGTGAGACATAATAATGGTTTTCTGCTGCCTTTTGATACCAATAAATGGCTTTCTTAAGGTTTTCTTCGGTTTTTTCACTACTATCATATAAATAACCAAGGTTATTTTGTGCGGCTTGACATCCATTTTCTGCTGCTCGTTCATACCAATAAATGGCCATTTTCAAATCCACTTTTGTTCGTTCTCCTGTTTCATATAAAAAGGCAAGATTAAATTGAGCGACTTGATTCCCATTTTCCGCTGCTTTCTGATACCAGTAAATGGCTTTTTCCAAATTCTTTTTCACTCCTTCACCTTTCTCATACCTAAACCCATGATAGCATTGTGCTTTTGCATTTTCATAATCATTTTCTGCTACTCTTTTTATCTTTTCTATCTTTTCATCTTTATATAAATTTGAAAGATAACTTTCTGCCACTTTACATCCATTCTCTGCTGCTTTTTGACACCAATAAATGGCCTTTTCTGAATTCTTCTCTATCCCTTCACCATTTTCATATAAAATCGCAAGTTTGAATTGCGAAATTTCATGATCATTTTCTGCCGCTATTTGATACCAATAAATGGCCCTATCTAAATTCTTATTCATTACAACACCTTTTTCATATATAAGCGCAAGGTTATATTGTGCATCAATATTTCCTTGTTTTGCCGCTTTTTGAATCCAGTAAAAGGCCTTGTCTAAATCTTTTTTCACTCCTTTACCTATTTTATATAAACGACTGAGATTGTATTGTGCAACATCGTATCCATTGTCCGCCGCTTTTTGATACCAATAATAGGCCTCTTCCAAATTTTCGTCTACTCCTTCACCACTTTCATATAAAGAACCAAGGTTATTTTGTGCCTTGAAATTCTCAATTGCTGCTGCTTTTTGATACAAATCAAAGGCCTTTTTTAGATTTTTTCCTGTCCCATTTCCTTTTTCATATAAGAGTGCGAGGTTATATTGTGCCACCTCATATCCATTCTCCACTGCTTTTCTGTACCAATAAAAAGCCTTTTCCAAATCCTTTTTTGTTCCTTTACCTTCTTCATATAAAAGTGCGAGGTTATATTGAGCATCAGTATATCCTTTTTCTGCTACCTTTTGATACCAATAAAATGCCTTATATAAATCCTTTTCAGTTCCTATACCCTTTTTATATAGGATTGCAAGATTATATTGTGCGATTTCATAATCATTTTCTGCCGCCCTTTGATACCAATAAATGGCCATTTCTAAATTTTGTACCGTTCCCATACCTTTTTCATATAAAAGCGCAAGATTATACTGCGCGTTTTCGAATCCATTCTTTGCCGCTTTACAATACCAATCAAAGGCTTTTACCATGTTCATTTGGGTTCCTTCACCTTTCTCATATAATATCGCAAGTTTATATTGTGCGTTTTTATATCCATATTCGGCCGATTTAAGATAACAATTAAATGCCTTTTTAAAATCCTTTTCCTTCTCGTATGAAAGGGCAAGGTTATATTGTGTGATCGCATCTTTTTCTTTTAATTTTGAATCATTATCGGAAGACATCATATTTAATTGAACATTTTTTTTTTTTTTTTTTTTTAGAAATTTTTAGGTTCAAAATGAATCAAAATTTGATTTTGTATTTTTATATGAATTGGTTTCTTATATAGGAGGGCGTTTGTTTTTGTCACCATGCAATCAAGTTGTTAATCAGGATAATCCATTATTATATTTTAGTATGACAAACAAGTATGATTAACATTAAAAATGTAATTTCATTAGCAAGAAATTAAAAATCAATACTTAACAAATTTTGATCAAGGAACGGGCCGAAAGAACTTATTAAAATTTGAAAAAGAAGTTTCTGGTTGATATCCTACATATCGATAAAATATTTTATGGTTCGAATTTTTTATAAACAAGAAAAAAATAATTAGGAGAGAGTCAAGTGACGAATCAATATTCTTAATAACAAGATTTTGATACGTATATCCCAAACAAAAAATTTTAAATTTTATGGTTATGCAAGTCAACATGAAATTCTCAAATAAGACCATTATTTTTTTTTTATGGGTTGATCTTTGATTGTAAGAGAGAAAGAAGTACGACTTTTCAAATTTACCTTTATTTTCCGTCTTTAGTGCTGATTGCTCAGCAAGTGACTTTATGCATTAAATGATAATTGCTAAAGCTTTTAGCTTATTTCTATGAAATATATTAAAGATATAAATTTTTTTTTTGATTAAGATATTAAATGCGAATTGTTGTACAATATAAAGAATAGATTAAAACAAGCTCCGCATAAGCAAACAGGCTCATAAAGCTCGAGCTATTATGAATGGCTCGTGAGATTCTCAAGCCGGCTCGCCTAGTATCGATTGAGGAAAAAATTTTAAAGTAAGTTCCTTTTTCACCTTTCTATTCATTAATCTAGCGAAGAATTCTTAATTTTAAATAATTTTTTTTTTTTTTTTTAAAACAAAGGTTCTATTTACAAAAATTTACAGTATATCGAAGTGCGCATTAAAATTTTTGATTTTTTGAAACTTTTATAAAATATTATATTGCTGTATAAATCGAAATTATGTTTTCTTACCATTTATAAAAAAATCTCATTAAAATCTTAATAGGATTGCTGCGAAAAATGTAAATATTTCTCTTAAACATCACTTTCTATAAATATAAATTCTCTAACTGTATAGTATGATTTGCAAAAGTTTGTACTAAAATATAATTTATCAATATACATACCTACTAATTTAAAAAAAGGTGTTTGGATTCCGATCTTTTCATTTTAAAATTGAAAAATTTGGAATACTTTTATCGTTGGCATTTTAAATATTAAGAAAATGTAGAACAATTTCGTCCGATTAGATTTGATTAAATTAAAAGAAACTTTATCCTAAAATTTGTAGAAAAGCCTCGATCAAAAGTAATATGCACAGTAGATGTAGGACATTAAGTTTAATTTTCAAAAATTTTACATTAAAAAGAATATGTATTTCAAATCTATTAATGTTCGAGACTAAAAAAATATTTTTTAAAGAATTTGTTTCAAAGAATAGGATCGCGATATACAGTAAATAATAATAAAAATTTAATTCAATTTCACTATTTTATATATATAATCAAAAAACAGGCACCCAAAATAAATCACCCAGATTTTAATAGAATCTATAACAAACTCCAAAGAAATTTCCTAACTAGGGTTGTTAAAGTCTGGATCAGGACAAAATACTAATTCCGTCTGCGACAAAGATAAATTCTGCAATATGCCGTGCAACCTTTTTTTTTCAGCCGATTAGTGTAACTTTTACTGAAAGTGTGGTGGTTATCTTGCGATTTATGCAAGGGACAAATTTTGTATTCTATTGGAAAATTAAAATTGGAAATCAAAAAAAGAACATTCAAATGTTTGTTGAAACAGTGTAACATTGAAAATATTATAAATGTTTTATATTCCAAATGATTTTTAATAAACTAAACAAAATGGACCTTTCAATTTCAAATAATGAAAATTCAACTCCAAAATTAAAATCCAGTCCTGTACCAATTAGGTTTATATCTTTTAAATACGAACTGTTTGATAAATGTCATTGTGGAAATGAATACTCTTGTGCACGTTCCTTTAGCCAATTATATTGTAGAAATTGCTTATCCGAGTATATTGGTTCTATAACTGAAGATGATAATACGTATTTGGATGTGCTTATAGTTACAAATCATAAATATAAATATTGTAATAAACATGAAGCTAGGAATAAGGATTTTTGCACGCCAAACATTCATGAATGGTGTGAAACTTGCTCCGAAATTTTATATTTCAAACAAGTATATGGAAGTACAGATTTTATTAATATTTATCTACTCGAAATATTTGAAAATAATAAGGATTGTAAATTATGTGGGAAGTTAGTTTATCAAGATAATTTATATAATTTTAAGATGTGTTCAGATTGTTATAAAATTTCTTACGGACGGGAAGAATCAAAATTAACGAAGAAATTTATACCAATTCTTTATTTGCCATGGTGGGATAAGAGTTTTCGTTGTAAAAATTGTAGAAAAGAACTAGAGACTATATCAGATTGTCAAAAATGGTGTTCAGATTGCCAAGTAATTTATAATGGATGTAAATATTGTTTAACAACAAATATAATTTTTGGTATTACAAATCAATCTCAATGTAAAAAATGCAAAAGAATAAATTTATTTGATACGTCACTTTTAAGTAACGAAACAACATTTATATGCAGTGGAGACAGTGACATAGATGGGCTCATTAACAAAACATACCTTAATATTCTGACTCGGATTGATAAATATTTGGATAGTATTGCGAATGATTCTAATCCATTAAATGCATATAAAACTATTATAAAAATCATTATTTTTTTACGCTCAGCAATTAAATGGATCCCATTTTCTCAACTTACAAATTTAGAAGAAATAGCAAAAGGGGGATTTGGTATCGTTTATAAAGCGAATTATTTAGATGGTATACCTAAATATTCCACTCAATCTGAATGTAGTAGAACAGAACATGATATTGCGATAAAAAGGCTTTTAAATTCAAAAGATATTTGCAAATCTATCTTAAATGAGGTAATTATTCATATTCTTTTATCCGAAAAGTAATTTTTATTTGAAATAATCTAAATCTTGTTACTTTAGTTATATTCGCATCATTGTTGTTGTATTGATCGTAATATTAATCGTGTTATGAGATGTTATGGAATTACGAAAGATTCTGGAACGAATGATTATATGTTAGTAATGGGTTATGCATCAGGAGGAGATTTGCATAAATATTTACAAAGTAATTTTGCTAAATTAACATGGTATAAAAAAAAAATAGGGATTTTATGGCAAATTCTAGATGGGTATTTATATTTTAATTCAAATTATAATTATTAGTCCTAATACTAATTTATCTTTTGAAATTAGACTTGAAACTATTCACAATCAGGACCTGATACATCGAGATATTCATAGTGGAAATATATTATTTTTTAAAAATAATGAATCATCATATCAATGGCAAATTGGAGATCTGGGATTATCACAACCTGCAAATAATACTTCATTAAATAATGAAATATATGGGGTAATTCCTTATATTGCACCAGAAATATTTAATGGTGCTCCATTTACAAAAGCTTCTGATGTTTATGCCATGGCCATGATTATGTGGGAACTTACAACTGGTTGTAAACCATTTGCTAATATTAAACATGATACTCATCTTATTTTTGAAATTATTGATGGAAAGCGACCTGTGATTACAAATGATACTCCCGAATGTTTTGCGGATTTAATGAGAAGATGTTGGTATTCAGATCCTTTAAAAAGACCTTCTATAAAAGAATTTCGTATAACTGTTGGTGGCTGGTATAATCGCGGAAAAAATAAGGAGCAATTTAAACAAGCTGATGTAAATCGTTTAAAACTAATCAATTCAAGAGAACTTGGTCCTGAATTGTCTGTAATGCATCCAAATGCTGTTTTTACAAGTAGATCCTTGCCTTTAATTTCTAGTTTATCATCTATAAATTCATTAAATATTCAACAAGGTATGCATTATAATTACAATGATTAATCCTAAAATGATATCGTAATATCTCATATAAAAACTTTTTTAGATGATGAATTTGAGATATTAATGCAAGAAGTAAATAACAAAGGTACCATTTTTTACCGTATAAGATCAAAATTTATTAATTTATGTATTAATTTTTTTGTTATTTTAGAATATTTTTCAAAAGAATACGAATTCGATATAGATACTCAAAGGTATTTATTTGATCTTGTGAAATTATTTTTTATCGTAAATTGAAATTAACTATTTACTTAAATAATTTTTTTTAATAATTTTCAGGTTATTAATGAATGTTTCTACATCTCAAAATTCTTCGATTACTCAACATCCAAGCAAATCAATTGGTGCACTTATTTCAACAGAAAATTCTTCAAGAAAACGAAAAATTAAAGAATTAGAAACTAAACTTCAAGTTGATAGTAAGTAATCATTATAAAACCATTATTATTATATTATATCATTAAACCTAATATGATTTATTCAATTTTATGTAAATAGGAAAAAATGTTAAAATTAATAAATGATTTAAACTCGGGATCTCAAGATGATTTTTGTTTTTGAATGAACGTATTATATAGATTTTTAAATTAATGGCATGATCATTCAAAAAAAAAAAGAATATGTACAAACCTTACATCATTATTAAAGAAAAAAGAGCCTTGAATTATTGGGAATCAACTTAGTATTTCATTAAAAATGTTGAATATTCTATAATAGAGAAGAATAAGCAATTATTAAATAAACTTTAAAAAATTTTAAAAAAAAATATACATATAAGAAATATTCAAACCTTGACGCTCTGACACACGGTAATAATGCTTTTATCGAGCTCAATTTAGTTGTTCTTTCGCAAATTGGCAAATAATGAAAATATTTGATTTCCGTCAGAATTTTAGGAACATTTCAAGATTTTAGCGTTATTTTAACAAAAACTGAACAAAATTATCACATGACCCAGCACGCGTCTTTCCTTTTGGAATTTCATTATAAACATTTAAATAACCTTTTTTTTTTGAGGTCCTTGGATAAGTTTGTTATTAAGTTGTGTACCTTTAAATATAATAGGACCCGAAATAGAATAACTTCAATGGCCGCTATTGTTACACGGTATTATTTCATTTCATTCATTTATAATAATGCATTGCGTATGGAACCGATCACTGATTTCGCGATTACAATTTACAGAAGTGAATAAGAAATTGTATCCAAAATAAGTAAAAAAAAAAAAAAAGTATTTGAAAAACCGATTAAAAAAGGATAAATTTTGTTTTCACGAGGATTTGCTTTTTGTGAGGTTGAACAATCGATTTCTATAAACACCGACCTAATTACCATTGTATCATAAGCAAATATCGTGTCGATCAATGAACTCATATTTGGAATTCTATTTCGAAAGCAAAAAAAATTGATTGTCTTTCAAGGACTTTCTAACAATGTCGTGAAACATAAACATTTCATTCGAAAATTTCCTTTTTAATGTTTTAATCATAAATGGAGAAGAATGAAAGATATAATTTAATATTTAATGGTACAATTCCTGGTAAATTGTTGAAATTATAAAAAAAATAAAATAAAAATAAAAACAAATAAATAAAATAAAATATTTATATTTTTTTTACAATTTTTCCCATGAAGAAGAATCATAAAGAAATAATTTGTAAGTAAAAAACATTTTTTTGAAGTCTCGATGTGATTTTAAACGTAATCGATAATAAAAAATCTTAACCTTATTAAAACATCTATCATTAGGCATACATTCCTACACTTTCGATTGTTGGCATTTATATAAAAATGGAAGAGAATCCTCTTGTTTACCAACGAGTGCGTCTCGTTTCAAAAGAGCCGAAATATGGTCCGAAATGTGGTAAACCTCGAATCTCTTTTTGGTGGTGCTTTGCATTTGCTATCGAACATCAGGAAACGAAGAGAATTCAACATAGGCCACCCAAACTTGTGATGGGTCAGCTTCGAATTGGGTAAAATCTTGTTGGTCGTGAAGTTCTTTCGAAGGACCAGATAGATTTGAGATAAAGCTGCCTCACCATCTATCCCTGACGCGTTTTGTGTACTGGATATCAACTGTCTAATTGAATGGGCTGCAGACCCTTAGAGAGATTCTGATCCTAAACAAAAATTTCGAAGATTGTAAGGATCGAATCTCTCTAAAGGTCTGCAGCCCATTGATCTTTTATTAGTAAATTTTACACGTTATTTATTATATAATTAATTGAGTATCGACAAGGTTTCCGAAAATATCTTTTTTATTTTTTTTTTATTTTTTTATATATATATTTAATTGAGTAGCGAGGCCCATTTCGTACATTTCGTACATTTTTGCATTATTTTTTTTCACTTTTTGACAATAAATCAAATATCAAATTAGTTATTATTTATTTTTAAAAAAAAGTTAAGCTCAAACTTAATAAGTAATTCTATAAGATGTTTACTAATGTAAAAAAAAAAAAAAAAATGCTTTTTTCTACCGATTATTTCATATTGTTGCACAAAAAAATATTAAAGCGGATAAATCTGCAAAATGGAATTCAAACAATTAAAATACCAATGCATTTTATTTCATTTAATCAAGATCGGGATATTTTTAAATCGCTTATTAATGATATAACTAATAATATCGAATATTTAAACGTAACTCTATCCTTCAATTGTAACAGACACACAATAATAAATTATACCTCAAAGGTGATTGTAAACTCTAATATTCTTGGATGGATAAATCATTGTACAAAAACTTTGTGGGATCGCTTTTAGTCTTTAACTTGCGATAGATACAACAGCTTGCCAGGAATAGTGTACGTATTGTTATATTATGGTTGACAACAAATATTATTTTAGACATTCAGAACTCAAGATATATTAAGTGACAAAATATTATTTATTATTTATTAATGTTGGAAATGATAATATCAATGAATCTCTTAACAGTACAAACTTTAATAATTATTATTCATTTTTTGTCTTAATTTAAGTTGATAGATTAATATATTTTTTTTTAAAAAAAAAAATAAAAAATTGTAGCTCATCATTATTATAAAAAATTTGGTCGCGTTCTTCGACTCTATGGAATTCCTAATGATTCTAAACAATTGATTATATGCTATTAATAAAATATGCAGACGATGAAATTTTACACTATTATACAGCCATTAAAAATAATGATGATTAAATTTTCCAAAAACATCTAATTAACGAACTTCTCGAAAAGTTCCTTTTCTAGTATGAATACTTTTGATCATAAATTTAAGGTGTATAAAAAAAGTAATTCAATTTTAAAACGTTATTACCCAACAATTTTCAAGAATAATTAGATACAAGCATAATTTCAAATAAAATATTTTATTTTGATGATAATGAATTTAGTGAACTGAAAATATCGGAGAGGAAGGTTTCGTAAGTCGCATTAAAAAGGTTAAAGTTGATTCGTTAAAGAGGTACTTATTTTTATTTATTTAAAAAAATTTTTTTTTGAAGGTAATATTATTTCGTTTTTGCATTATTAATTCTTTCCTTAAAGTTAATTTAAAAAAGTGAACTATTATCACATATCAACAACTTATTAGGGGTAACTGAATGTAAATCTACATTTAATACGTTACTTCATTTGCTCTAATATCTAAAGGTTTTAATTGCAGATAGTACATATGTGATGATATGAGATTGTATTACAAGTTGCTGATGCGAAGATATCTCGCAAATAAATTTCCAACTTGATAAGCTTATAATGGAGACTGAGATAATCATAGGGTTAATGCTTTACACGTGGAACATATCTTTCACAGCGATCTGATATAACCTTCTTTTTTTTGTTTGAGCTTGTTAACCACAAAGTATAATTGAGCTTCATTCTTTAATTAAGCATGATAATATCCTCGTGCATCAAGAAAAAATGATATCACTGATCTTGGGTTATCAGAAGAGTTAAATGAGCCAACCTTCAATATCTTTCTACCAACAATTATCCTTCACAACGTGAATCTTGTATACCAAGCAAACTAGATAGATGAACGCGATAATTCTGAAATGTCTGTTGAATAGGCAGTAGAAGAAGAAGTTGTTGTATATCAGCAAAATTGAAAAGGGTAATCACATTGGTTAATCCTGATGATGATGGAGGATATTTAATGATGATAAATAGATCTCATTTCCTAACTTAAAAGAAATTATATGTATGTTTAATAAATTAAATACCTAATTGATAATTGTTAGAACCCGAGACCTTGCATCTAGCAAACGATTATCCAACTACATTTAACAGAAGAAGGATAAGTATTCTTTAATTGAATTCTACATCTGACGATTAAATTTAGTAGTAAGAACGATTAAATAAGGAGATTTATTCGATAGTTGCTTTATTGATTGTCGCTTTTCTTTCCATATGCTTTATAGAACAATACCAGCATAGATTCTTAAAATAAAATGATGTTTGATATCACATCATCTTGATTATTTTGATCAAGTATTATCAGTATGAAATTGAATGATTACTCATAAAAAAAAAAAACTTATTGAATATCAACAATAAATTTTCGAATGTATTCACTTTTTATTTTTTTTTTAAAAAAAAAAAATTAATATGAATGTTTTATACATGACATCATATATTATATTGGAATAAAAAATCAGCGCCACGTGTATTAAGATAATGTCACAGTAATTAGCATACTGCACAAAGGTTCTTTGTTCAGATCCGTTGCTCCGATATATTCGATATGCCAAGATTTTTATTAAATTACTTAAATTCTAACGTTTGCATCTCTCTTTGCCTATTTTAATTGTTAACTTTCATGTTTATTGGCTTCTTTTTCATATTAATCGTAATATTATTATGCGCGAAATCTGAATATACAAAGGTATTAAAAAGTTACTCTCACTAATGAGAACACTTGTCGTGATGAACTGCATAATACTGCGGCATACAGCGAAAAGTTATTTTATCGTTTTGAAGGTTTGAACGATATTTTTTATCGGTTAAGAAATATATTTATACTATATAATAATAATACATTATTACAATATGATGACAAAAAAAAATTAAATCGTATTATTTTAATAAATCTTCTAATAAAACTTCTAATAAAGCTTTTTTTTTAATTAAGCCTCTTCGACGGTAGTAAAATCTCCAGATATCGCGCTCTTACGCCTATTGACGGTGACCCTAATATAATATTTGCGTCCGTCTGTTGCCCAAATTGGATTGATTCTGAATCGAAGCTTTCTAGGTGTGTTAATCAGCTGCAATTATTAAAAAGAAGAAAAAATTAATTAATTTAATGAAAATTTCAAAAAAATTTAACGAATGAACAAGGTTCTCCAAACTTACATTTCCATTTTTAACAACATCATAAACTTTGTTGCCTGTGGTACGACTAATGACACCGACATTAACTCCGTTATCTCCACCTTCTATTAATTCATACAGAAAAAATAATGAAAATGCCAAATAAATTTACAAGAAAAAAAAAAAGAAAAAAAAATTCTCAAATCATCATTTATTACGAACCTGTCATGCAACTATCACTAACATCATATTCGATATATTGTCTGCTAAAAAATGGATAAACGGCTCCTTGCTTAGGTCGGTAAACTTTAATTTTGCAGCCAAAATTCTGAGCCTGATCTTGAGCTTGAACGTGAACAAACATTGCCATGAAGACTACAATGAAGTAAAAGAGAATCGAGGAATATGTTTTCATTTTGGTTTGAATTTATGTATTTGAGTTGTGAATTTTTTTATGTTTCTCTGAAATGATTTAAGAGTGAAGTTGGAGATGAAGCAAAATTCATTGTGTTTAAATACTTTTTTTCTCCATAATCAAATACGGAAACTTTTAAACATCAATATTATAATAAATCAACGTAATAAAGAAATTATTAATTCTTTATTCTTGATTCTTAAAAATAATTTTACTGCTCCATGTTCGATCAATTTAAGACAAAAATGGCGAAGTGATTAAAATAATTTTTTTATTCTATAAACTATAAAAAAAAGGTAGGGCGAAGCGAATTTAATGATATCAACATGATGGAGGAATTTATTTTTATCTCCAAGTAGTTTAAAATACAATAAAGGTTTATCAGTAAACAAATTAATTTTAAATTATAATCAATTTAAAAAATGGATCGTTAACGAAAAGAAAATTCTTTATTTAAACTGATAATTAAAAATACTCAGATTTGATCAATTTATTTAAGTTTTAACCCCTGAAGTGATCTGTTAATGTAAATCGGTCAAACTTTATTGCAAAATTAGTATAAGTATAAATAAATGTTTTTAATATGAAAGTATAATAAAATGGAACTTGCAATTACAAATAATGAAAATTCTTTTGATCCAACTCCAAAATTAAAATCTAGTCCTATACCAATTACGTTATTCCCTTTAGTATTAAAGGTACTAAAATGGATAAATGTGATTATTGTGGTATTAAATACTCTACAGCACTTTTATTTTACCAAAAATATTGTAAAAATGGTTAACAAAGTATATCAACATGTAACTGATAATAATTCATATTTGAATGTATGTATATTTATAAATGTCATAAACATAAAAAAGAAAGAAATGAAGACTTTTGCACACGAAATATTCTAGAATGGTGTGAAAGTTGCTCCGAGATTTTATATTTTAAGCAAATATATAATACTGTAGGTATAGTTATTATTTTAACGGAGAAGAATGTAAGTGAGAAAATTTGTAGCTTATGTGGAATATTAGTTTATCAAGAATTTTCATAATATTGATTTTAAGATATGTTCAGGTTGTTATAAAATTTCTTCTGGATGGACAGAGTCAACTTTAATTAAGAAACTTATTCCAATCATTCATTTACCTTGGTGTGTTAATGATTATGGGAATTGCGCGATTTATAATGTGAACCTAGAATCTAGATCTGATTGTCAAAATACAAGATTTGATATTATAGGAAATAATTATATTGTTAATAACATGAATAGTAGTATTGCAGCAGATCCGAATCCGTTAAGTGTGTATGAATTTTTAACAGAAAACTTTATTCATTCACGTTCAATAATGGAATGGATCCCATCCTAAATTTGGTATTATTTATAAAACAACAGGCCTGTTTATCACCGTCGATCACTTAGAAAAAATCAAAGAATATCAGTAAATACTTTTTAAATGAGATAATTATTCAATTTTCTACATTTATATACATATATATATGAAAAAAAAAAAAAAATTCATTTTAAAATTTACTCAAGTTAAAATCGCATCATCGTCATGTTATCAGATGCTATGGAGTTACCAAAGATCCCGAGACAGATGATTTATGCTGGTAGCGAATATCAAGAAAATCAAAATTTCCGAAAAACTTGTTTGGAACATCTAAAAAAAGCGGAAAATTCGACCAGCAATGTGATGCCATTCTTCCAGAACCTAGCCGAACAATAAAACCAACATACCTTATTATTGCTTTGCGGAATATACTCTCGTTCGATTGATTGATAATATTTGAGTAAAGATAAGTGAAATTTATTGATTAGTGTTTCGTTTTATTTTTTCGTTTGATTTAAGCAGCATCAACTAGTGAAACTTACCTCCACTCAAAATCACAACCCCATATACAGTACAAGGATACTCCAGGGGCTATTAATAATACAATAAAGGCCTTTAGTATATGCGGGAAAGTTCGAGAAAAAAAAGCCGAGTTTCAGCTGTGATGCGGATGATTTTATGGATCAACATGAGAAGTTTTCTCGCCTCACATGTTACAAACCGTGATGATCGAGTCGAAATAAAAATCTTGAAAATCAACGGGTCTGTAAAGCTGAAAAAATTGGTAATCGACGTGAGCTGGAAGGCAAACTTCGATTAATTAACTACGATCTCACAGATTAATTTGCGGAAATATGTTTGATTTAATATGCCGATGTGGCATTGTTTATTTACTTAACGAGGTATAGAATATGTAATCGTTATATTATTTAAACTATTAAATGATCAAAACAACAAAACGTACAAATAAAACGATTTCACTAATTTACCCCAGGCTCTGTTATTTGTCACGTACCGTTGGGGGCAGTGTTGTACACGGACGTTATCCCGGTAATTTTTGGCGGACACGGACGTCCGAAAGTCCATGTCCGGGACTGTGTCCGCAGGACAGTTGGGACATGGACCGATATTAGATATCTTTTGACAAGAGATATGGCCAGCATTAATGCGGGCAAAAAGTCCCGGAAATAACGGACATGGACACGGACAGTCCGGTCCGGTCTGGTCCATGTCCGTTTCCGCGTCCCATGACAACATTGCGTGGGGTGACAAATAAACATCACCTCCCAAGAAAATTCTCTGTCCCCCAGATACTTAATAAAAATTGAAACTCTACCGGTGTCACGCCGGTGATAAATCACCTAAGCCCTAACCCTAACTAATCTCAATTATACCAGCCAATCAGAGCCTGGGGGGCAAATCCAAATAAAACAAATGAATGCTCATATTATGACCCATGGAAAAATACTTTTACCCATCATTTTTTAATAAATTTTTCTATTCTGGCTCGCTTACTAGACGAACTGTTTTGAGCGGTTACTCTATCTCTCAGCAGCCCAACAATTATTCCTACTACTTGTTTTACACTTTTTCGTAGACTTTCTTTTTCTTCTCTGGCCGCGGATTTTGAGAGATGTATATTATATTCCATGCCACTTGTTCAATATATACCATAAGTGGTGAACAATAGAAAATGCCATTCTGTGGCTAATATATAGATTCAAGAATTAGTAACACGTATGATAGCCTTGACCAAACTTCTTAAGATTAATACTACCTGTTGAAACTAGTCAGCACTCGGTTTTTTTTTGTTTATATGATAGGCTTCTTCAAGTTGTTTAATATTTGCAGGTACCCTATTTTCACATTACGAGGTTTTCCAAGAATACAAACGAGGTTTTCCAACGTTTTTATTGCATAATCTACTTGCCCTGATTATTCTTCTCCAGAAACATCCTTTTGTAGTGCTAAATAGATTTCTTCTTTACCCTTGAGCCTTCTAATGATAGCTATTGATGTATGTAAAATACACGAAATAAATTCGCATCGCGTTGCTACGTTTGCATCAGTCATGGTCATATTATTTAGTACTAGTATAATATGGGACCTTTGTAATAGAAAGGGGGGGAAAGGGGGGGAACTTTGAGGATAAATGGGGTGAGTGCTACGAAAAGGGATTTAAAAAATAATGAAAGTTCTGGATCAAACAATGAAAGTTAAAATTTTTTGGATTTAGTAAATAAACAAATTACGTCATGTGTAATAAAAAAAAAAGAACACGTGATCTCAAATCTTCGGATTTGGGAAAATTATTTATCCGGAAGTAGATTTGATTATTTATGAAATAATTTTACAAATGGAAGAAATTTTATTGCAAATTTTGAAAGGGTATTTTAAAATTGCATATAATTACGGTCATTTTTATTATAACTCTTGATTATAATACTAACTTACTAACTTTTTTTTATATCAGACTTGAAACTATTCATAAAAATAATTATATACTGTACATCGAGACATTTATATTGTTTATAAATGGCAAATTGGAGATTTGAGATTATCACAATCTGCGAATAATACTTCATCAAATAATGAAATATATGGTGTAATATCATACATAGCACCAGAAGTATTTAATTGTTCTTCATTTACAAAAGCATCTGATGTTTATGCCATGGCCATGAACTTACAACTGGTTGTAAACCTTTTGCTAATATTGAACATGATACTCATCTTATTTTTGAGATTATTGATGGAAAACGACCTGAAATTTCTACCGATACTACCGATTGCTTTGCTGATTTTATGAAACAATGTTGGGACTTTGATTCTTCAAACAGATCTTCTATAAAAGGAATACGTGAAACCGTTTCTAGTTGGCGTTTTGAAAAAATAAATGTCATACAATTTAATCAAGCTGAAAAAAAGACGATTGGAATTATTAAAATTAAAGAAACTTGATCCTAGAAAGGTAAAAACACATCCAAAAGCAATTTATAAAAGTAAAGCATTGAGTTCTTTAATTCCTAAACTTTCATCTATAAATTCAACTGTAAGTTTGAGGCAAGGTATGAATAAAATTGGATAACTGTGAATAATTGTGTATTATTAATTTGCCCTTTTCCACAAGCAATAACGATCTAGTCCCATTATTTTATTTTAGAATTTATTACGAAAGAATATGAATTTGATATTGATACTCCTTGGAAATCAAAACCTGAGTCCATCAATTTTTATTATTATTAGTACAGAATAATAAAAACTTATTAATATTATTTTTATATACTGTTCAAATTCTGCATAAGTTATTTTCTCATAAATGATGTTATTTTTATTTATATTCTTTATTGAAAATGTTATGATTTTAAAATATTAAAATTTTATTGTAGCAAAGAAATTATATTTAAACACTATTGGTGTTGTCGGCAATTATGACTGCGGAATTCCAACCTTTTGTAATGTGAATTTTAGTATTGTTCTGAGTGGTTTGGTTTTATTTTATTTATCGCATGTTTCATACATTACAAATCAATAAAGTTTGATTCCGGTTAATATGAAAATATATACTTTATTTCAAATAAAAAGGAAATAAAGTAGAAAAACTATGTTTCAACGAATAACTAATAATAATTTGACTTAATCAACATATGCATCGATTTCCATCATCTAAATCGCGTCTGAAGTTCTTGTAAGCTATTTTTGTATCCACGAAATTGGATGCGGAGAACCTCATGATCAATAGATTCATATTTTAGAAACTTTACTTCAAGGATGATGTCTGTGAGTATATTATTTAAGTCATTCATATTATTCAAAACATTTTTTTGCTTATCAAGTGTCTGATTCAGCTTATCGATCGATATGTGCAAGGCGATTGCACCACCCGCTGTGGTCGCGCTACCAGTTATTCCGAGTGTCCGCTGACAGATTGAAGGATTAGTAAGTTAATAACACAATTATTTGGTAAAACCAACGGGTATTTCAAAAGGTGACTTACATAAATCGCGTTAAGATCACTCCAATTATAGAATGTGATGCCGAAAAAAAATCCGCTGGTCCTGTGACAGAAATTTCATACCGATGAAATTAAAAATGTGAAAACATCACGAGATCAAATAAAACATTCCAAATGTTTATATTTACACCCCAAGTATATTTCGTATGGTCTTACGATTAGACTCTTTCTCTTTTAATAATTTGATCCTCTCCTCGATTTGGACTTTCGATGTTTGAATCTTATTGATAAGATTTTTTGACTTTTTAATCAGGGTTTGTAAAAGTTCTACGACAGAAGTGAAACACATCAATACCGAACTGACTAGTACAATACCAAAAACCTTCCTTGCTTACCATCAAAACGATCAATACGTCTATTATCCAGATAATCACAAATTTTAGTAAGAACTTCATCAATGTCGTTGAGTGATTTAAGGTAATCCTGCTTTTCACCCTCAGTTTTGTCGTCCATAATCTTGCATTCATTGTAAATTTTGCATAGATCATACACTGACCAGGACAACAAGAATAGCAACAGGGCGATTGCAAGTGTATGCGGTGTCTGAAATTAGATGAGTGGTTGGTTATGAGGGATGCACAATAAGTTCTTTATGTAAAGTTCATTATTACCATCAAATTTCTTAATGTATAATACACGAGCGTGTTGATCTGCTGTACCGCTGATTGTAGCCACTTTTCTGAGGGCATACAATCCTTGGCTAGTCCGAAAATGTGCACTACTTGCTCGTTGGACAATTTGAACTTCCATCTAACACCCATCCGTAATAACGTCATTAGTTGGTCCATTAATTGTTCAGACAATTCACCAACATTTTGCGCCAATTTTTTGATAATATTGTTTAATTTGCCGATACTTAATGTTACAATGTTGCTGTCCTGCGCTGAAACCAACTCTGCTGTTGGAAACGGTAGTTCATTGAAACCCAAGTTTTTCTATGAGAAAGAAAGCAGCATAATTTAATGTACGTTATTTAATAATCATTGAGCTAAAAGTAAATTTTGAATTAATTATTGAACAAGTAACATACAAGAATCTGCGTCAGACATTCATCTTTCTTGACATTAAACAGCTGGTGTCCGATCAGGATCACAGCATCGGTGAGAAAACGGAAGTCATCATCGAATGGTTGCGTCGGTTTAACCATTATATCAAAATTAAAATGCGCTCAGATGGGAAGGTTTGTTTAATTTATGGTATTATATTACAATCGAGAGATCTGCAAACAAATATTATTGTTTTTCATTACATTGTGAAAATAATTACGTTATGGAAATTAAAAAATTTTATATTTCAAAATAAGTTTGAATTGTAGGTTCAAAATCTCAAAATTTCAATTTCAGACGCGATTTGGACAATCGCAACTTCAAAATCACGACTTGTGATTAACCTAAATAGTTAAACAAATCGTTCATTATATAAACAATAGCGAAAAGAACCCCTTTGTTTTACTAATCCTTGCATTTGACAAAAAAAACACCCTCCCCGATTTGGGATATCTCAACGATTTGAAATATCGTTGTTATTTATGGCTTTTAGATGATAACTAAAATTCTATAAATATTACAAATTTGATGAGATAATTCTTTATCAAAGATAATAATAAAGTTACACGATCACTTGATATTTTTTCTTTGAGGCAGATTTTAAATTCAAATGTTTAATTACCGTATTTGCTGATACAGAATCAAAATGATTTCATCCAAAATGTGAAGACATGCATTTGCCCCAAAAATGCGCGCATTTATCCCAAATGATCACTTCGGAAATTATCCCAAATGAACATTTCGGATATCCCATTTGCTGAAGTGGTCATTTGGGATATCCGAAATGTTCATTTGAGATATTGTCATTTGGGATATCCGCATGTCCGAAACGATCTTCACATTTGGATATCCAAAATGCGCATTCTGATTTGGGATATCCGAAATGCTCATTTCGGACATTATAATTACTCTGTCCATAAAGATGATATTATACCTAGTATCGGCACAAGATTTTCACTCCCACGTGACTTTGGCCGGCATTACGGCATTAATAATTTTTAACCATGTGACAAATAATGTGACAAATATGAAATTACTCCAGAATACTTAATAAAAATGGAAAAGTGGAGGTGTGACGGTGACAAATATTTTAATAATTTACTAAATCACGAGGGGGATAATATCAAAAAGTATATTTATAATATTCAAAATATTTTAGAATTTATAAAGTTCGTATCATAGTACGAACTTGCAATACGCTTTCAACTACATTTATTATTCGTAATAATGTCAGAAGAAGAAAGCATTTCTTGAAGAAATTTCTATAATATTTATTCCTTTGCTTACTATATAAATATTTTTAATAATATTAATTTAATAATAAAAATTATAAACGCCACTTAATAGAAATTAGCTGCGCCTCACGAAGCAAATCGACATTTATGCATGCAATGCCTTTCAATAATGTGGGAAGATTGCTAGGAAAATCAGGTTCTTATTATATTTTAATTTAATGATATCATAATTAAATTAAATGATCGATTTTCGACCAATATAGTTAATTTTCCAATGTATATCGAAATAGTTCTTTTTTATGATTTGTTAATTCAAATTTAAAGATATTGCTAATGTAATGGTGCACAATCATCGTTGTGCCTCTTGCGAGTCAAAAGAACAACATTTTATGATTTGTTAAAGTTTCAATGGTTTCAATGGTACCGATAACACCTAAGAATTTTTTGGCTTTGACTGAAATCCACATGAGATCATCTTAAATTTAGAAATTGAATTGGTTAGTTTAGAAATATGGGAGGTTTGCTAGGGGTTCTGAGACTAAAAAAAATAGTCTTTAATCAACTTCATGAAAAGGAAATGATCTCGGATCATCAAAAAGATTATTAATATAAAAATGACTAATCTGAAATCGCAAGGAAATTGTTTTTTTTCCTTTACTTTTTATACAAATGTTGAACATATATTAATTATTAAAATTTTAATAATCATCTATGAAAATTTCTCTTCATTCATTCATTCATAAAAGAAGGACGAAAATTAAAAATTTTCGCACTTCAGTTAAAAGTTAACCATGACTTCTGGAGTTAAACGTAAAGAATCTGTAACTAAACGCAAGAAATACATTCCCAACTTGCATTTCCTTAGATTTAATTCAATTAAAAAATCTGATGATGAAGTATCGAGTAAAAAATTTACAACCGGGCGAACAAATTCAAATGGAGTAAGAGATGCTCCTTTCCAAAAGTTTCCCATATGGAAGTCAACTAAAAGAATTGGTTCATTTATAGTACTTCTTAAATCATCTAAATTAAGGTCAGCTAATGAATCTGAATCATTTATTGAACCAGATTTATCAACGATTTTTGACGTGGAAATAATTAAACAAGCCGCTTCAAAAGGTGACCTAGAGGCTCAATTTATTCTCGGATCAATGTACGTTGATGGCTCATGTATTAAAAAAGATATTCAAGAAGCTTTAAAATGGTTAAAAAATTCAGCAAAAAAAGGTGATCTCAAATCACAATCTTTAATCGGAGAATTATATTATGATGGAACTGAAATTAATGAAAAGAGAGAATCGAAATATAAAAAAGCTTTTAAATGGTTTAACGAAGCGGCTAAACAAGGTGACATTAACGCTCAGTTAATCGTTGGATATTTATTACATGAAGGAAAAGGTGTCTCCAAAAATAAAGAAGAGGCTTTTAAATGGTTTGATAAAGCAGCCGCTCAAAGTGGTATTAATGCTCAATTAAGCGTTGGACGTATATTATATGAAGGAAATGGAATTACTAAAAATGAAGTAGAATCTTTTAAATGGTTCAAAAAAGCTGCAGAACAAGATAACATTGATGCTCAATTAATGGTTGGTTGCTTATTGTATGAAGGAAAAGGTGTCGTTAAAAATCATAAAGAGTCTTTTATCTGGTTTGAAAAAGCTGCTAAACAAGATAATGTCGATGCTCAAATGATTATTAATGGAATCTTTTCTAAAGTTGAAGGAATTCAAAAGAAAGGTAATGAAACAAGAATAATTACAGAACAAATGTAGATGCGTTAGTGATGAAAAATAATTTAAATTTTGTGATTTTGAACTAAACGGATTTGGTTAAACAAAAAATCTTTTACCCCCAAAAATTAGGCAATCAGATGATGATCTCTACAAAGATTCATGTTAAATTTGTATCCAATAATAACTTGGAACATGTTCATAGAGAACACAAATTTTAAAATTGCAATATCTCTTGAATTATATGACGCAGTGTTATGAACTTTATTTTTTAACGATTTTATTTAGTGATATAAAAATTATGCTTTTCTTTTGACCGATATTTTATTACATTTAAAAATAGTTTTTTTACATTAAAATTTGGTAAATTATTATTCCCCATTTCATATAGCCGTCATTAGCCTTTATTACATCATTTATATGAGTTAGCATAGTATCAACCAACATCAGATTTTCTAACAGGTATTTCAAGCTGTCTCAGACAACGGACCATTTCATTTTAAAGGCGTTCTATTGTAGAGGTTGGAACCGAATTCGACCTTCGGATTTAAAACCGGATTGAATCCGAAGGAACTGGATATAATAAATTCCGATTAAATTAGGTTCCAATTTTTGAAAATAAATAAATCCGGTTCCAACCTCTAATTCTATTGGGTTTAAGTCAGGGGACTGTGCTGACCAATCATCAAACCATTGTTTAGTAAGATTTGCATGTTTAGGATAACTAATATATTTTTTATAATATAAAAAAACTATTTTATAAATATTAAAATATATTTTATATTAATAAAGAATATAAAAATTGATTTAATGTATTTAGTTTTTGTTGATTTACTAAAGTTAATATCAAATTTAAAAAGTTATAAAATTTTGTTAAAAATAAAAATATATTTATTATATTAAATTAAAAATATATAAAATAAAAAAAATAATGGTTATATATTTATTATTATAAATAAAATATTATATTATAATTATAATTATAAATAAAATAGTAATAATTAATATATTTTTTTAAAATTATATTATTCTATTATAAATTTTATAAATTTTTTATTATTATAAATATATAATATATAGTTAAGTTAATTCTTATATAAAATCATAATTTATAAAATTAACTAGATATTTATATTTAACAAATATAAAATAAAATATATAATTATTTATAATATTTGTTATATTTTAAAAAAAAAAATAATATCATATTTATATTTATACTTTTATTAGCAAAAGTACTTTAAATAAAATTAAAGTTTATTATAATCATTAAAGAAAACTATTAATTTTGAAAAAAAAAATATTATTATTATAAAAATAAATAATAATCTAATATTAACCATTAAATATATAAAATTTTATATTAAAGATATATATAATATAAAAATAAAAATAAATATTAAAATTAATTAAAAATAAATAAATTAAGTAAAAATTTATATAATTTATAATTTATTTCTTCCATTGTTATTAATTTAATTTATTAATTGTTTAAAAATTTTATTTCGACCCCTGTATAGTCCGGGACTAAAAAAAAATTGGTTTGATTATAAAAAAGCTACATGATATGACTATAGAAGAGTATATTTTTAATAAGATTATTAATAACTCGGCCTTACAAAAATGTATTTAAAAAAAGAAGTGACTATATAAGAGGTGATTTCAAAATGAACTACAAAATTATTATGGCAACCACACAAAGGCTGCCAAAATACAGATCATCCCGTAACAAGAGTCGCTTCTGTTCATTATATTATCAACCCTTCGCAAATCATTAACACCACTTTTTTCATCTACATTCTAGAAGAATTAATTGACAAAAAATCTTTTAACGAGTAGGCGAATTATAGAAATATTTGTTTATCTATTATTTCGCTCCTTGTCATTGCAAGAAGTGAATGACATTTTAATCCCCACTCCAGTAATACATCACAAGACCAATATGGATTCGTTACTACAGATTCCTCCCGTAAGAAATGCACAACCAAAATTTATTCTTTAGTTTCTGGATAGAGCCTGTAATATTTCTATTATAGATATAGAATAGCCTATTATTCCACAAATCTTTCCAGTAATATTTGAATATGGTCCATTACTGAATTCGCAACACATCTTCCCATTTGTGATTAGGGGATCTAAATTTCTTAGATGCCATCAAACTAAGAGGATTCATCGTTCTTTTTTATATAAAATCACTATATTTTGCCATATTTAACACTTGTTTGAGATGCCACTTGCCTATTATTCAACATCATGCACCTTTGCAAGCCAATTTACCAGATTCAGTACATTTCTGCATCATATGTGAACTTTCGCTTTGGCACAGAATACCTTAGCAAATGATTCGAACTTTTAGTATGAACGAGTCAATCCTAAAGTAATATTTCTTTGGTAAAATGTTGGGAAATTTTATAACTTCAAGAATTTCCACTGACCATATAGAGCAAAATCGGTGAGTACGTATTTCTTCAGTTTGGATACATACTATATCAAAGTATTGTCTCTTCTCTAATACATTAGAATATGTTGGTGATGATGGTTATGGTGATGGTGATGGTGATGGTGATGGTGATGATGGCGATGATGGCGATGCTTTATTCCATAAGTGAACTTTCTTAACGTCCACCTATGAACTCGAATGCAAGAATATTCCAATAACTAATATAAAGAAAGGTATCATAACCATTCATATTAACGTATTTTATAGGCCCACCATTTTTATTCTACTAATATACTTACAATTTTATTATTTATTAGTTTTTGTTCCACGTCACAAATTTCTTGCCAAAAGAGTAAGATAATATATGGAATTTTATTTTTTCTCGACTTTTGCATGATTATCTATAATATAACTAATGAAAAGAATTGTCGAAGAGACAAGAAATAGAAACGTAACAGAAAATGTGTTTAAAAATTTTTAGATTGTTTCACAGGAAAATTATATTCATCGGGTTTGAAGTCGTGCATTTTGAATATTACCTTAAAAAATTTAAATATTCGCAGAATAAATACTATCCTCCTATCAGTTTTAACAATAAAGGTTATTTTTAGAATTAAAAAATTTGATTAGACTTTTTTCGCTTTGTCAAATTCATAATATCTCGATTTTATTTATATATACAATTTAAAATAGTTTATGAATTAGTCACACCCGATTTTCGAGTAGGATAATATTGCCAACATTTTTAATGATCAAGTTTAACAAAACGTATTGAAAACTTGTTTTCATTCAATTTATTCTTTTAGGAAAGAATCGATTATGTAAACAAAAAAACGTGTAAAATATTTACTAATGAATACGTTTTATATTGAAACTATTATTATCACTCAAAAGTTATAGAACTTTTATGGTAGAAACTTTAATCTTCATTATACAATTTATTAGGTAAGTAAATTTGGTTTCACTAAATTTTATTTTACAAGTTTTGAAATTTCAGAAATAATTCCAGCTTCGAGATGTCCACGTTCAGCAGCCTTTTCAAACAATTCTAAAGCTATTTTGATATTTCTTTTTGTCCCTTCGCCTTTAACATACATTTGTCCGAGACTAAATTGTGCCTCTAGATTGCCTTTTTCGGCAGCTTTTTTAATCCATACAAATGCCTTTTCATTATTTTGTAGAACCCCTTCACCTTTAGAAAACATTCTACTAACAATAATTTGTGCATCAGCATTACCTTGATTAGCAGCTTTTTTATACCAAATAAAAGCTTTTTGATCATTTTTCTCAACACTTTTTCCTTCATATAACAAATGTCCAATAATTAATTGAGCATCAACATTATTCTGTTCCGCGGCTTTTTTAAACCATATAAAAGCTTTTTGATCATTTTTCTCAACACCATTCCCTTCGCATAATAAATGTCCAATGCTTAATTGAGCATTAACGTCACCTTGTTCAGCTGCTTTTTCAAACCATTTAAAAGCTTCTTCATCATTTTTAACAATACCTTTTCCTTCGTATAATAAACGACCAACCATTAATTGGGCATTCGCATCTCCTTGTTGAGCCGCTTTACTAAACCATTTAAATGCTTTTTTATCTTTTTTCTTTATGTTAATTCCAATCTCATCGGAATAGATTTGTCCAACAAGTAATTGAGATTTGATGCATCCTTTTTCAGCTGATTTTATTAACCATTCTAAAGCTTTTTTAACATCTTTTTCAACACCTTCACCATAAAAATACATTAATCCGAGAACGAATCGGGCTTCAATATTATCTTGTTCAGCTGCTTTACTAAACCATTTAAAAGCTTCTTTAACGTTTTTAGTGACACCTTTTCCTTCAAATAATAAACATCCGATGCTTAAATGAGCATTAATACCACTCCGTTCAGAAGCTTTCTCAAATAATTTAATAGCTTCTTCTTCGTTTTTAGGGATGAATGTTCCTTCATGCAACAAATATCCAATTATTAATTGAGCATTAATATCACCTTGTTTAGCTGCTTCGCTAAACCACTTGAAAGCTTTTTCATATTTTGTTTTTCTATCTTCATCAATTTCAGATCCATCAAAATATAATTGTCCAACTAATAATTGGGATTTGATATCACCTTTTTCTGCAGATATTATTAACCATTTTAAAGCTTCTTTAACATCTTTTTTAATACTACCATCAATATACATTAATCCGAGAATATATTGAGCCACCACATCATCATCATTTGAGGCGGCTTGTCTAATCATATCTACATTAAAGACTATATTACGAGATGTTGATTTATTGGATAATTTAAGAAGTACAGTAAAAGAACCATCATGTTGTATATAACCTTTGACGAAACTACTGACCCTTTTAGCTGATATCATTGTTGGAAAACTTTGAAAAAGAACACCTCGTTCTCCATTTGAATTGACATGGTTTCCTCGTCCTGTTATGAATCTTATACTCGATATTTCGGCAAAATAAGATTTCTTGATTGTATTTATAACTAGATTTTTCGCAGATTGAAATTTATGAAAGTGCAAATCAACTACGGGAATATATTTTAAACCATTTTTATGTTTAATTACAGGTCCTTCACATTTAACTTGTGAAGCAATTTTCGTTGGTATGAATTCCTCACTTTGAACTTGTAAAATGTTTTCGAATTCTTCACATTTAACTTGTAAATCATCATCGATGGAGAGAAGCTCTTCACATTTATCTTGTAAGGTGTCTTCGGAAGGCATAGTTAAACCAGATTCAACTTGTATATTTTTAAATAACATGGTGTAATTAGAGATGATGAAGATTTTATAAATTTATTAACAATATAGGAAATATATGTCAACATATATCAAAGAAAAAAAGGAAATATTGAAGAAAAAGTTATCTCAGATAATTTTTCTTGAAATTTCATGTTATGGAATAAAAGTTATTTTATACAATTTTAACACAATAACGATGAAACAAAAAATTCCTGATCCTTTGTTTTATTTTGTTTATATTGAAACATACGTTTGATTTAGGTTTCATGATGACGATCAAGAAGAATTTAAGTTTGTTGTTTTTAGTTACCATTTTTGGTTTTGAACTTTTCTAGATTTTTTTCTCGTAAAAAAATTTTCCGACTCGACAAAGACTGATAATAATAAATTTACCGTTTCACAACCTGAGTCAAAATTAAAGACAAAGAATTGTTTAGCAAAGACAGATTCTGCTGATCTTAAACAAAACTTTTATGTGGTTACATCACATTTTTTTTTATATATCGATATATAGAATTGCGTAGATTTATGAACAACTTGTTGAAGTATTCTATGGTAAACATTCCTTTCTATTCATATTTTTATCTCTGAATGTGATAAAGAACCATTGATAGAATCATTGGTACTACTACCATGCAGATAGGGGCCATTATTGTGTTTCTACTTTGTTGGACTCGACATTCGATTAGCTATACTTCGTATTATATGTGCTCATGATGAAAATTTATTTGAAACGAACCATTGTGAGATGGGTTACATTATACATGCCCAGTCTATTATAGTATTTACCTAAAGTTGGTCGAAAGGAATTCATTATCACGTCAAGAAATGTTTAGTTGGATAATCTTACCATAAAATATAAATTTTTTAAGAAAACTTGAATCGTTAATATAATATTTTACAGTTATCCGTTCAAAGAAACCCTACCTAATGGGTATTGTTCAACAGAATTTATCATTTTCTAGTTTCCCCGTTTTCCGATTACTTAGTAAAAATGAATGTAATCATTATAATTGAATATACTACTTGTTGTCTAAAATGGGATAGTAAATTATTAATTATTTATAATGTACTAATGTTAATCATCAAAACCCTGGATCTAACCATAAAAGTCCTATGCTTACGCTACAGGACAAATTTATAAGTGCTTTTTTTTTACTTTGATTAATATCTAAAATTAAATCTATTTTATCAATTTTTAAATTGTTCATTTATTAAAGTATATATAGTCCCCAGCGAAAGAATGGTGGATACAATTTTAAATGGTAAGTAAATACTTTATAATTAAATTACCACACGTCTTTATTTATTAATTAATATTTGTGTGACTTCCCTCTGCATCGATACTTAATTTAGTATGGCATGCTATGCTATCAATGTACCATATTATGGTAAGAAATAAATCGCAGGAAATTATTTTTTCTTTGCTACCATTGAAGGCGTGATCCATGCTACGCCAATCAACTATAGCCAATCATGTGATTTGAATTGGTTAGCCGATCTGACCGATATGACAAATTGGACAAATCTGA